ACAAAAGTAGCGATGTTTATTTAATGTAGGAAGCTGGCAACAGGGCGTAAGTTGCCTTGAGTTAAACAACACGCAGGCGGAAACAGGGCGTGTCGTCTTTGCGGGGAACCCCCAAAGTGGATTCGGGGTTGCTGTCGGCGTCCCTTCAAAAACCAATCCAAACAGGGGTACCCTCAAAACAAGACACCCCCCCCATTTGGGCCGCTGTTTCCCCGGCGAGTTTCCGAACCCCGCGGGCTTCAGGTCTGAAGCGCGCCTGTGGGGCCCCAGCACTCGAGGCCTGGGGTGAGAACGCGGGGCCCGGTGCAGATCGATCTGGGGTTGGTGCCCCATTTGGGTGCGTGCTTTTGGCACGCATGCCCTTTTTGGGGGACCCTTCGTTCTTTGGGGTGCCATTTTTTGAGGGTGGTTTTACTGTGGAAACCAAAAGGACAAGGTTACCAGCTTTTGTGAAACCATTGATGAGCTTTTCAGACGAAGGGAAGGACGGCAACCACAGGATCTAGTCTCCGAAGCAACCACATAGATGGTTTCCCGGAAAACAACATATTTCCAATAGTGACAGATTCTCTTTAAACCACCAATAAACAACAACGCATATTCCCAAGCAAATCAATGCTTTTCAACAGCCAGACGTCCCCCTGGCTTTGTGGTTGCTTTCTGGAAAGGATCGGACCCCTATTAAAGTTACTCTTCAGCGCTTGGGAAGGATTTCTTGTCTAGTTAGTCAACAAGGTGGTGCTTTTTCATGGCTTTAGTCCTCATGGGTTTATTGGGGCCTTGAAGCAATCCAAGGAGTTGACCCACGGGCATGCTGACACACTCAAATGTGCTTGCGCCCGTGCATGGGAAACCAATCAGCGATGCAGCAGGGGTGCCAGCAGGGAAATACACATGGGCAAAAACCAATTCGTTGGGCAAAGAATTTGTTTGCGCGATGGCAGGGTTGGAGATCCATCCCCACAACTTTGTCTTTAAGTTTTTTTTGCAAGGTATTTAGGTGGCAACCCAAAACCAGCATGTTCCCCATGTCTGTGCACCCCTCCAACATCCAAGCCATGGAGGCGCACTAGAAATACGAATCACATCCTCAGTTCCTGCGCGGGTTGGTCAGAAATCCGCACTCGCCTTCTCAAACCACCTTCTCCAAGCACCGACTCGGAGCCCAATGCGACCACCCACAGAGTTCGATAAAGCCAAATGGGTTCTCCAACCCCTTTTATCTAGTTATTTATGTATCCTATTTAATTAGTTAACAACAAGAATGCTCAAAAAACAGCAACACAATATGTATCCCTGTAAATAAATAAATAAATATATATATATATATACACATGTACAACACACAGCCGCGCAGCATTGGGTTGGGTGGTTCTCCAAACCAAAAAAAACATCCAATCAAGATAGCCAAGTTGCGATCGTTTTTGTTTGAGTCGCAGTTGCTGGTTGTTGGGGTAAAGTAGATGGAAAAAAGCAATATGTATCCCTGTGTAAATATACACATACATATAAATCCATTTGCCCATGCACACAACACAGCCGTGCAGCATTGGGTTGGTGGGTTCTCCGAACCAAAATAAAAAGAGTCCAAGGGCCAACCGCCGAGTGTTTCGGGGGCTTCGGGCGCTTCAGCTGTTCGACGGGGGGCATGCGGTGCGCCAGCTCCGCGGCCAGCTGCAAGAGCAGCTCCGCCTAGAGCAGGGATCACGAAAAGGGTGCCATGGGATGGGAAGACCAAAAGACAACCATGAGCGTAGATATACATATACAATTTTGTATATATAATAAATACATGTATATGTATGTGTAAATATATATATATATCTATATATGTATATCTATATATGTATATCTATATATGAATATGTACGTACATGTTTGTATGTATGCATGTAGGTGTTTGCAAATAGATGTATTTATGGGTGTGGGTTTTAATTTGGGGCGGGGATTCATGTCCACCAGCCGCTTTCAACCTTGCTACCTATTCAAATTCATAGCCAAATATATATATATATATAGATATACACATTGGACAGGCATAGGTTTTTTTGGCTGGTCTCAAGAGTCTGACCAAGCCGCCCACCCAAAAGGGCAGAACTTTTGGGTTTACAGCTGGCTTTTACCTGAACTCATTTGCAACCAGAGGACCCAGAAAGAATCAGTGATAACCTTTTGGGGTTATGACGTTTCATTGGCCAAAAAGAAGGAACCCACAGGTCAACAAGGTCGTCTTTGGGTCCCTCACTCTCCCTGTTTTGGACCTCCAAAAGTGAAGTCTTGTGGGAACCTGGTAACCTGCAACTGCTGAAGGGGAGATCCAGGAACCCCTGAAAAACCAAGGGAAACCAAGAGAAACTAACTATTTTGCTCACTTCCTGAGTGAATGGGCCAAAGAAAAATCCAAACCAAAGCTGCCCCGCAAGTCACAGGTTAAACGGACACCCCCCCCCCCCCAGAGTTGCTGACTTTATTTGATAACCCAAAAGCACTGACCCCGAGGCACGGAGCAATCCGGAACGGTCTGCTTGCGAGCTGAGCGGCGTGCAGTCCGTCGAGCAAGTGGGCCTTCAAGTGGCCACCCTGCGGGTTGTACCAGACCGTGGCCTGGGAATCCGGCGGCGCGACGACAGAAGCCAAGGAGTTGACGTAAAATGGGTGGCTCGTCGTTCGTTCGGAAATCGGACCCGCAAAATGGGTGGGTTTTCCGGTTGGTTTCCCTAACAAACGACATACGCTCCAGAAAGGCTCACCCATAGGTAAGCAAGTACCTGGTATTGAAGGAGAGTAAACTCACACCAGGCCGTGTTGAGGGGGTGTTGAACAGGAAAACCAAACGGAAGCCAACCTCTTTGCGGAGGCCCTGACTCAACGGACGGGACAAAACATCAACTGCTTGTCAGGGTCAAGAGAGCCCTGAAGGGTGGCCTTTACGCTGAAGGGTCATGAGGCACCTGATCATGGAACAGTGGCAAATGCCATGTGCTGTCCCTTTGAACCAACCTGAACCTGAAAAGAGTACCCTAAACTCAGATGCCCAATAAATTCCATTAAAAAAAGAAGAAACAACAAACATAATTTGGCATCCGTTTTTTTGGCTGGTTGACTTTAAATGGAAACCCCAAACAAAAAAAAGTTGGAAACAAATAATCAAAAAACAACTTGAAAAAAGGAAGCAGCCCACTGGGCAGCTGGCTAAAAAACATGCCCGACAACCCCGTCAACCCTTCCAGACGGGCTCCGAACCAGGGTTACCTCATGCAGGCCAAGCTTTCAACTGGAGGAAAACCGGTGTCTCGGTGTTTTTTGGGAACCCCAAACATTAAGCCCAACCAAAAGGGGATTCTCAAAGAAAAACTGGCTCCAAATATAGTACCAGTATCAAAATCACCTCCCGAGTGGTAGACTAAAGTGAACCACCCCAGTTTCTGACATTGATACCCAGAAATGGTCAAAGTCATGAACCCCCCCCAAAAAAAAAACACATTCCCAAGACAATTGAATTGTAATTTCTGAGGCGGCCCCTCTGCATCCGACCATCGACCCGGCTCGGCCAGCCTGCCGGAAGTACTCCGCGAGCGCGTCCAGTGCCTGCGGTTTGAGGGCATCGTCCAGGTAGGCGACCTCGTCCTCAAAATGACAAGGTCCAGCCAGATGTGACGCCACCCGTGTCCCATGCTTGTGTGTGTGTTTTGTGTGTTGTTTTCTTCTGTCTGTGTGTATGTGTGTTTTTATGGTACCCTCTTTGGCGGTGATGAAAGAGAAACCAAAAGGAAAACCACCAAGTACTGGGCCTATTTCAGCACATACGCACTTCCTGAGTGGATGGGTCAGCGAAAGTCCAACAACTTCGTTCGGCACTACCAACATTGTATTTCACAAAAAACGCATAATCTTGGGAACCCGGGAAATGAGCAGATTATAGCTACAATTCTGCTTTATCCCAGTTGCCCAGTGACCCGAACACAAAGAACGCCTTCGTGGGAATCACCAAATTTAGTGGGAACACACCAAATTATAAAGGACACGTGGTGTCACTGAGCAACTAGGGCAAGGGTCCATAGTCTATAGCGGCAATTCATCATTGTAGGATAACGTCTGACCATAGGAACAGCCAAGAACTAAAACGAACAGAGAAACATCTTGAGTGTGTTTAATCACTTCCCTCAATGTTATTGGTTAATAATTGCTTTTGCCAGTCCCGCCATCTCCGAATACTACGATAGAATTAGGCAGTACCAAACCAAATCAGATCAAGCTTCCTGACCCCAAGTGCAGTCGTACTAGGGGGGCTATGCAAAACAAATTGAATCCTTTGTTGAATTGCAACTTCCTCAATGGTGAAATCCGATTCCAAGGGCTGCAAAATGAGCATGCTAGATGCTCAAGGCCCTATGAACTTGCCCGGTTGCCCGGTTGCCCCTGCCATGCAAAAGAGGAAGACAGGCTTGGGTTGCCGATTTTCTTGGCCCACGTCAGGGTTACACAGAAATCATATGACTCGGCTCCATATGGCCATGGGTCCAAAGCCAAATCGTACCCCCAGTGAAAATAGACTAAAACGGGTGGTGCACCTACCCCAAAATGGCACCATTGGTTTTGACCCACTGCCATATTTGGTCTACCTCAGAATCTAAAACAGTTTCGGGGCAGATCCCATGTCTGGGGGCAGCCCAAAGACGTTGTCACCACCCTTACGGCGGAGCTGCAAAAGCGGTCGCCTTTGTTACCCGAGCCGCTTGCGCATGCATGTCAGCCTACCACTTGCCTGTGGCCCTGTGGTTTGTGGCTGAAGTCCGGATTGAAATTAAACCAGGCTTGCTACATAAAACATCCACAAACATCATTGAATCATTGATTCATAGTATCTTGGGCCCCCCAATTTCCATGTGAGTCACAATCAAAACCCGGTACTAAAATGGCCTACCCAGAACCATGTAAGGAATTAAGAAGGCGGCCGCAGCCTTTTATGTTTGGGATTGTCCCTTACCAACCTTCATCTACCCGGGTTTTGATTGTGGCTCATGTAAACTCGTGTTGGGTGCCTTGGTCGAACCACGGGCCCGAAGTGCATGACCTGACCCATTCGGTCAGCCACCGCCGGAAACCGAAACGGGACGCCAGAAAACGCGTCATGGCAGCGAGAGCTTTTCCGCTTTGGCCACCACCGCTTTGGAGCTGATGTACGCGTTCCTGAGGCAGCATGGGCTCATTCTACTGCGGATGGACGCAGATACCATTTCGCACTACCTAAGAAACCCCGGAATCCCCTGTAAATAGCAGCCAACAGCGGTTTCCCTTGATTTCAAAGTGGTGCAGGATTACCTTCATCCACAGTATGAGCAAACATTTGGATGAAACTCGAGGACTGAGGTGAATCATCCACCGACTGGTGTTTGTCCACTAATGAACGCCCCCTATTAATAAACCCCTGTTTGTTAATATGGGGTGTCCCTTGTTTTAGTGGGGATTGTTCACTTTAGACGGGAACACCCCCCTATTAATAAACTGGGGTTGATTAATCCGGGGTTGACATTAGCTGAATCTTTCAAATCCGGCGGTCAAGGTCCTCCGAATTTCAGGCCCCATAGGCTACCTTTGGCAAGGCCCGAGTCCTTCCTGTCATTGCCGGCATGCGACGAAACACGAAAGGCCCAAAGGTGCGAACAGAGCACTCATGCTGGCGAAATGTAGGTGGTAGGAGTCCCCCTTTGGGCTTTACAACCCCTTTTACCGGCATAAAATTGCGCCTGAACACCAAAATCACCCTTAATTGGACCTGCCGATGATGTCATTCTGGTATGGGCCCTTGGCAACAACTTGGACAGTTCAAAGCATCTCCATCCGCTGCTGGTTTCTTGTAGTAGGTGAATACTCCATGTGGCACCCAAAGCTTCGGCCTTGCACCCAAAGCTTCGGCCAGCCCCCCGGTTTGCCTCCTTGTGCAGTGGTCTCACTAGACCTCTCCTTTTCGACTTCACCTCGTCCTGTTTTTGTTTACATGGTTATTTCCCTTTGACAACGCTTTTCCTCCTTTAATCCCCATCTCGTACAGGAAAATCTTTCAGTTACCCCAGGTGATGAGAGCTGTGGGGAGCCCTGCCGAAGCTTGCCGAGATGCACCGAGAGCATGACCACAACCACGACCAATAGAGTTCTCAGGTGGAACGGAGTGTCGAAGGTCGGCAGCAGAACCTCCGCGGAAAATGGCTGCGGATCCGCCAATGGTCTCAAATGAGTGCACCAAATCCATGTTGGTGCTACCAAAACATGAAGACATGTTTATATAGGCCTTACAAAAACGCCCCCATGAAGACAACAAAAAACGATGACATGTTGGTCACGGCTGAGATGAGAGAAGCCAAAACTGCCTGGTGTTCTTTTGGTTTCCCTTTTTGATCAAACAAAAGCGGAGCCGCAATAAAAACAAACCCAATTGACTAAACAAAATCCACGGCCGAGTAAGAAAATAACAAAGATGCTTCCAGAGTGGGCATTCAGGGTCCACCTGGCACCTGGTGCCAGTCGAGCACCCTTGAACCAACCCGGAGGAACAAACAGGCGTCCACGACCGGGTTGTCAAACAAAGCGGGGGGAAACCGTGAAACGCCCCTACAAGGGAAACCCCTACCAACTGTAAGGATGAACTAGCTAGTTTCAAACCCACAGAGGTACGAGGGTACGACTTGATGATCCTTGAAAGGCGCTGGAAGAAGGACCAATTTGAAGAAGCAAGCTTTCTGGAGTAAGGACTAATTGAAGCATTAAGTTTGCGAAACCCAACATGTTTCAAACCAGCCAGAAGACAGCAAACGCTCAGCTGCAGACTTGGTCGCTGTACGTTGCAACAACCCCTCTGCAAAAAGTTGTTCAGTTTGTGTAGGTTCAATACTGGAAAATCACATTACTTCCTCGAGATGTTAAAGTGCAAAGATCCAAGCCAATAGGAAACCACAATGCAACCCCGCCATGTGTTTGAAAGGGGGTTTCTCCAAAAAGACGCACTCATGTTGAATAATACCCACCTGGAACCGAACAACCCCTCCTTTGCAGAGGAACCTCGGCCAACCGACGCACAAAAAACAAAAATTCCCCCCCCCCCCCGCCTCGATGAGGTAGGTGACCAAGACGGCTAGGGACTCCCCGAGGTTCTTTAGCACGGAGTCCAGGTACACCAGCAGGTACAGGGTACTCCAAGCCTGGCCCCGGCTTGAGAGGAGAATCTGTCCAAACTCCCCCCCCCCCCCACTGACCCCTTGAGCGGAGGGAGAGATCAAACAAAACCAGAGGTATGGCCAAAGAAGCTGCCAGAGTGGGCAGAGGATAACTACCTCTGGCTTCAGCGGGGAGGAGAAAACCCGGAAAAGGTTCAAGAAGTTGCCGGGCTTCGGGGCAACGGATGGCAGGAAACAAGGGACTCTAAGCCCATGACTGTTTATCCGGATCTGTCTCAGAATAGACAGTTGCAGCCGCAATGGTGATTTGGCACTCAAAGCCTAGGCATTCTTGGCGTCTCAGGGGCGCCAGGCTTTCCCATCAAAGTGATTCAGTTGATTTAGTCTGCTGATGCAGGTGCTTAAAAGATCCACATTCTGGGACCCCAGCATCTGGGGTACACAAATAGTATGTGTCTAAGGGGTGTGGCCCTAAGATTTGATACTTAAAAGACAACAAACGCCGAAACATGTCAAAGCTGCCAAACCACGACCAAATAAGGATGGCCGGCACCAGGTATTCCAAGGCCTAGTGAGCTTCTCTGCTGTTGGTTTACCCCAAATCGGGAACGGATGCCCTCGAATTTGGCAAGGAGAAGGAAGGGGAACCTTCAAGTTCACTGCAACTTACCCTGGTTTTGGGAATACGTGTGCTTGGTTTACTTCCATGGCTAGGGGCATTCTCAGCATCCACCAGTTTGCATGAACCAGTTTCTTGGCCATGTTCTGTGTCCATTTCATTTCGCCTTCCCGAAAATATGTTCCCCTTCAGGGATTGACCTGGAACCTAAGAAACCATCTGCAGAGGACACTTTTTTGGGGACCCCCCGTGCCAAAGATCCCAACAAAACCCATACCCCAAATGCGGGAGGATGCAAAATGGACCCTACCCCAAATGAAGGAGGTTGCAAAATGGACCCGATGCCTCCATACGGAACCCCCCCGTCCATCATACGTTCCTTCCGCTTCGTCGCACTTTCCCGCCTTCAGAAGGTGGGTGATGGCCACCCAAACGGTGCAGGCATCCCAGCCGTGGAAGAAGCCTTGCCTCCCGACTTCCGGGTACCCGGAGAACTCACTCGGAAAGTCCCTTTGAAACGTCTCCCAAGCGTCCATTTGCTTTAGCCGCCCCCAGGAAAAAAAAAAAAAAAACGTGGTGATCGATTCCTTTTAAAACCAACAGGGGAAAAATAAAACATATTCTTGAAGGGAAACTCGTGGGCCTACGCAAACTCACTTCCTGAGTATTTTGGTTTCCCCCAAACTTGTGCAAACCGAAAAAGTTTATCTTCCAAGAACTCTGGGAGGGAGAAAATGGAAAATGGCAAAAGGCCTACAAACCAACTAGAAAGCCAAACATCTCTAGACCACAAAAATGGCACATGGCACATGGCCATTTTAACCAACAAACACCCCAATACATGCATGGACAAGGACAGGCCAAAGGCAAACATAGAGACCCCCTGAATCAAGTCACTTGCAGGGGGCTCTGGGGGCCATCCCTGAAGCTCCCCCTTAGACCACGCAGCTGAGCCTGCTGGAACCTTCCCCACTTCGACCCAAGAAAAGCACAAGGGTACCGTCCCACTAGCTGAATTTGGTTTCCGTGTTGCCGTGTGGTTTCCCTAAAGGAAAACCACCCACAAAGGGGTACCAACTCCAAAAGGACAAACCCTGGTTAGAATAAGGGTAGCTTTTTTTCTGTAGTAAATTTTAATAGGAGAACCCTCCCAGCCAAAAAAGGGGTGAGAAAGGGCGCTACTGGCGGACCTAGAAGTGGGAGGCAATCCTTTAAGCCACTCGAGGCTCGCACTCAAGAAAGCCCTGCGACCCCTTTTCGGGGCTCGTGGGGGACCGTCTGAAGAAGAGGGAAAAAACGGAGGCTACCCACGGCTCATGGCCCCTGAAATTCTGGCCTTGACGTGAACCAAAAACCTTTCAGTGGAGGTCCTGGGCTGTCAAATCGAGGGTCTTGTGATGCTTTGGGCACTAAACTGCTGGGTAGGCACGGGCCAGGCGGCCAAACTGGCAAGAAAACAAGTTGAAAAGCCGAGGTGCTGCACAGTCTGTCCGTCCAAGCAAACGAAGATCCCCAGCAGCAAGCACCGGCTGCATCGCAGCTGGATGGCTTGAATATAGACCTGACTTCTCGCCGTGCGATAAGTGGAAGAAACAATGGGGTCAAGTCTGCACTGCCTCAAGGCCCCCACAGAAATAAAATGAACCAAAGGCACACTCACACACAACCTCCCCAAACAACACCAAGACCATAACAATAGCAGTTCGTTGGTCAGAACCCTGGTTTGGTCACAGCAGCAAACAAGAACTCGAAACTACCCAAAGTCTTTTGCCAGACTGAAACCACCATGACCCAAAAAAAACCACTACAATTACCATCTAGCAACTCCAAAAAGAACTCTTTCAAAGCAGCTTCCTCTGCAAGGGCGGGCGGTTATTTGCCAGGAAGGATGTGGGTGGCTCGTCTTTCGAGGCACGGTACTGAGTTTCTAGTGGTTTGAAACGTTTTTAAGGCACACCGGAAGGAACCTAACTATCCTCTCTCCCACGAACATGGCACCTCGTAGGGCCCTCCAAGAGGCAACGGATCTTCCAGGTGCCACCCCAAGTGCCATGTTAGCGGGAGGAAGGGCATTTCGTTTGAGGCCCTTAGAGAAACAAAGACGAGCCACCCATGGAATGACTATGGGGAGTGCCTACAAAGGGCCGAAGAAACCCGAAACGCGAAACGCTTCTGCCGAACAATTTCCATGAACCCAAAGGCTGGGTCTGCGAAATGCTTGGTGTAGCGATCCGTGAGCACCGCCGCCAAGCAGGAGACAGCCACCTTGAGGACAACGCTCCTTAGGCGCAGAAGGACTAGACACCCCCCAGCCACTGAGACGTCAGCTCCGAGCTCCGGCACACGATTCTGGGGAGAACAAGAACCGGTTAACTTGCAACCAAGGGACCTGGAAATCAACGGAATAAACGGGTAACCCATTGGGACCTTTATTTAACATGGTCCAAATGGGAAACCAAAAGGCTAAAAGGTCGGCTTTGGGCAAGGGAGGAACAGAACGCCAGTGGCCCCTACCGTTTGGGGACATCATAATGACCCGAATTCTTTGCAAGAGAGTGGCAAAAGAGTTGCTTGGCCCATCCAAACGGGAGGAAAAGCGCGAGGCTGTTCAGTTGTGATTTGTCCCTCTCGCCAATCATACGCAACAAGCCAAATGAGCAGCCCGCAAGTTGAGACGAGGCTTGCATGATTTCTCCAAACCATGGAGCATATTCCTCAAACCGCAACTCAGATTGCGGTCCGGGCAATGCCACAGTTTTGGCGGAGGGGATCATCAGACCTGGTTCGAGGTTCGATCTGTGAGGTCTGAAGGACTCAATGCCAAAGAGGAGGAGTGGGGGTGGGGGGGGGGGGGGGTTGTTTTGGTTTTCCCCCACACTCGGGTTACTCCATGTAACCCGCTGGACCCTTCGCTGGACCCTTCGCTGGACCCTTCGCTGATCCCAGCTTTCCTTGCCCGGGCTCAGCGTCCCCAGCAGCTTGTTGCCAGAGCCAGTGCCTCAGAGCTACCCGTTGGCATCCCACGAACCATGTGCAGCGCGGCGGGTTAGGCCGCCATGGAGCAGAAAACTCATGTGGCCATGGGTCAAAATCCAAAGCCCATACCCCCAGTGAACATCCCAATCCCCGCTAAAATAGAACATAATGGGTGGTGCACCTACTCGAAAATGGTACCATTGGTTTTGGACCCACAGCCATGTTTCCTCAAATGGGGAAGCTTGTTGTGGGTGGTGAAATGTGGTGAAATGCCAGCTCAGCCAATCATGTGAGGTCCCCTTGTTCAGGAAATGCTCAGTTGTTGCCTCCAAGTCAAACCCTGTTTGACTGTTAAGCATCCATTCGATGCAAAATTAGCCGCCGAGCCGCTCTGCATATCCAAGCACCTTGGCTCGACTTACACGGGACCCTCCAAAGGCATCGGGCATTGTGCAAAGTATCGCAGCTGCCTAAACAACCCAGAGACAAAAGGTCACGGAACGGTCATGACAAACAATCGACCAACTATATGCGAAACAAAAAAAAATAAAAAGGCCCAATCACCTACCATGTCCCTAGCCCGATCGGTAGCTCCGAAAGGTTCCCATCTCCGAGCCCGGCTCCTTCCAACCACCAGCTAGCAAAGGACAGCCACAGGCCACTTGTTTGGACAACCCTCACGTGTGAAACTGCACAACAAGCAACGGGAGCTGGCAAACAGAAGCTGTCCAGGTTCTGCCTGAACACTGACATGAGTCGAGGGGAGCTTCATGGGTGCGTCTTTCTTGAAAGATCGGACCCCCACAAATGGCTGCGGTGTTCCTTTGGGTCTTCCTTTAAAACCTACCAACAAAGGATGCCAACTCAAAAAGGACAGACCATGGGAAGCTGTTGCAAAGCAGACAGGGTTTCCCAGTGGATCGCTTCGATCTGAGCTCGGCACATGTAGACCGACATGGAGCAGACTACCAGGGCCAGCAAGTTCCACTGGAAGAGACTTTGGCCCTTGCCACTCACCGCCCAGAGCATCAGCGCGGTGATCCTAAAATCGGGATCACCAAATAGGGGCGCGAGAAAAACACCCAAATCCACTAGATGAAGCAAAATCTGAGTGTCAGCTGCAAAACCAGCGCATGAAGTACAGACTCAGCTTCCCCCTCGTTGGTTTGGCTTGGTGGTCTGGAGGTTGGTGGGCATTTCCCATTTGCCCACTACAATGTCTACAAGGACCACAAACTCAAATCCCCAAACCATCCCAGGGCTTGCCTGAGGCCATGCCCCCCGCCCGAACCAAAAAACAACTTGCTGGTGCGATAGGTAGGGAATGAGAAATGGAATGACCCCTATAACCCATCCAACTGGTGGTTTCCTTTAATGGGACCCAACGGTTCATTCCAACTCATTCCATATCTATCGCACCGATCGCAAGATAGATTAGAACCAGGGTACCAACTTTTTCTGTCTATTGTAGTAGGGGAACCCAAAACCGCAAAAAAGAAACGAGAAGAAAGGGCACCAAGCTGGGGGACCTAGAAAAGACAGCCAAGAGCTCGGCGAAAACGAGTAGACACAGCGAGGCTCAGCAGGCGGGATTGGAGCAAGATCTGATATGAGCCGCTGCCCAGAGCTACCATGGACCTCATCTCCAAGTAGTCCCCCAAGCCGAAGAGGAACCCCACCAGAGTGAAGATCCGCCTAAGAGATGACTGTTTTTTTGTCTGCAAAGGAAGGCACCCGGAAGAAAGTGATTTCCCCTTCCTTGTTTCAGCCGATGCAATCTTATTGCCTACGGTGCTAAGATATGCCGCCTAAGATATGGGTATGGGTCAAAATTAAACCACCAGGAAATGGACCGCAGGTTTTAGTCGTTGCTTCCATTTACCAGGGTTCCATTTTGGCTACCCATGTTTGACCCACAGCCATATGGAAAGGTGAGTCACTTGCTCAAAACGCGGTATCAAAATGGTCGTAATCCCCCAGAACCACGCTTCAAGAATTAAGAAGGCGGAATTCCGCAACTATGTATGGTTGGGATTGTGCCTTACTAACGTTCATCTACCCGAATCGGTTTTGAGGACGTGGCTCGTGGATTTGTCTGATTTGTCTGCAAAGAAAGGCACCCGGAAGAAAGTGACTTCCCCTTCCTTGTTTCAGTCGATGCAATCTTATTGCTGGTGTGCCGATGGCCCTAGCAGCCTTGTTCCGGCTAGCAGGCCTTCGCGTCTGATTATCTTATTGTCCTTGAAGGAGACCCTAAGAGTACAGGAAATGACGAGGGGACGGAAAATGGCGTAAGTTTTTCCAGGCCCATTGCTCAGACCCGCAGGTGAATTTCCACGCTTTCGCCGATGGATTTGCCTCCAAATGGGGACATCCTAAAAAATATGGTTCCCCTTTGCTTCCCTAGCCAGCTTCTCAAAGAGTAGGGACTGCTCCAAATAAATTAAGTATGGCCTGGGAAACTGGGGGAGGGTGGGCGTAGGCATTTCGTTCATTTCCCAAAGGCCAGGGGCATTGTCTACCTCTGGAGCAACCTTGACCTCGTCTAATTCCGAGGCGGATATCCCCGATTTGAGGGTTTGTTTGGTAAAGGCCACGGTTGGTTCAGGCTCCCTGGGTTGCCCTTAAAGAACAAAACGCAAAGAGTTGAACCCAACTACCGGTTACCTGACTTAAACCAAACCGGAAAGCGTGCTGACAGACCATTTCGGGATTGCGCCAATCTACTTTCACCCGTACTTTCACCCCGCTCTTCCTCTTGTTTTCCCTTCTACCCTAAAACATCAGACCCAGACCCAGCTCCAAAAACAGCTCACTCCAAAGGGTCAGACCCAGCGGCCCAACCAAAGAATCGATCCATCCCGATCGAGTACGACGAGTAGCAGCGGCTCCCAGCGCCAGATGTGACGCCACTGGCCGTACTTCAGCGCCACCAGCTGCGCGACCATCATGGAGATGAAGACCTCCGCCAGGTTGGCCTGCCGCTCTGGTGCTCGCTCGCTCGGAAGTCGGAGCCAAGCGAGGCATGGCATGGCCGGCGTTCAGCCCTGTGCAGAAAGCGAAGAACTTGTGTTGATCCTGCATCTACATACACATAAATATGCATATGTATATATGTGTGTACGTGCACATACACACGCATATATCTATTACGTGCACGTACACACGCATACATCTATGTATGCATATATATATATATAACATATATAGATATACATTTAGCTATTCATGGACACATATCTACGTGAGCATGGTGGGTAGAGATGCCTAAGATGGGCATCTAGCGAGCAAAAGAGGACCAAATAATATCAAACAAGCCAAGTGCAATCACAAATCCATGGCAAGTAAGACGGAAATCCGGCAAATCGGGCGGAGCCGCAACAACATCATCTTTTCCCGAAAAGTGAAAGCCTGAAGATCCAACCAAGCAAATGCAAATAGCAGCAATTCCTACTGATTCAAATCTTAAACCATTAAACACCTTCTAAAAGAAAACAATTTGGGGGTCAACCGTTTCAACGTTTCACGGTTCTCTGAAGTAAGCCCTCGGAACCGGACCAAGAGCTTTATCCACACGGCCATGTCCTCGCCCATCCGCTGAGGGCGACCTTGGTAAGCCCCTAAGAAAGTATCGGGGGCCAGCTACTTGTTGGAGTCAGGATACACCAACTGCTTAGAGACCAGTAGATCCAAACAGCTCCATATTAGGGGTGCGGGGCTTGCTTCTTTCAGGTGGCCAGTATGTCCCCTTCGTCCTGTGTTTCAGCTTGTTCACCCCTCAAACACCTATCGAGTGGTCCGGACTACCCCTCATACCAAACCCCTCAGGTCATCGGTTCAAATTGAGGCCCGCATCACACCTCTTATAGGGCTTGGTGCGCTTCAGTGGCCCGGTGAAACAAACACTGCAACCCTCTTTCTCCGTTCATTCCATTTCGGTGCTTGATCATCTGTACAGCGGACCTATACGAATTTCGAAACTCCCACCCCCCCGCCGGAAATCCACAAACCCACCAAGGGTGTTCATCGATTTCGCCCCCGTTTCGCCGGAAATCCCAAAACCCCAAGGCCCAGCCGTCTGGGGGCCGTAGGCGAAGTAGGTGGCCCCATTCTCGTCGACACTCTTCGAGGCTTGGATCACCTGCAAACGGAGGGGCCCCAATGGCCAGCGGACTGCACATGGCAGAGAGAATTAGAGCCCGAAGGCTGTGAATGTGTTTGTGCTATATGGTCCAGTTGCTTTTTTAATGTGCTTATTCCACCCTTGGTTCCATGGCAACGTGGACAGGAGGGCGGGTGCTTGCTTTGCTTCTAAAGGGGGAAAGGGTGGTGTGCAGGATGTTGGGATATGGAGGTCTTAATGTTGAAGAGTTGCGCGTATACATCTGCTCCAGCTGTGAGTGAGGTACCCAGTTGCTTGGCTTGCATCATCTTGATCGAAAATAGCTGGAAGGTTCGCAGTGAGTAAAGCCATTGTGTCATATTGGAACACTTTTGAAGGTTGCACCTCCCCCCCGCCCTTGGGGAACACGTGTACCAAGTTGAGGTTGTCATCTGGGTGTTTCCTACTTCCCCTGGCATGTGCTCAAGCAACCTGTTGCGCGAGATGCAAAAACCCAGCAGCACAAGAACAACAAAACAAAACAAAGCAAGAGCGGTGAACCTACAAGTCCAGTTCCCAGTCAGGCCCTTAAAATGGCCAAGCCGGACCCTTTGAGTGTCTTGTGGGTGTTACAAGCCACTCGTGATACATCTGGGCTGTCCTCAAACCCCTCTCTGAAAGTGTAACCGTTAGTGGGTTAAATACGGAACGCTAAAAAGCTAAAGAACCGTATGGCTGGGAGCCACCAAGACATGCACAAGCCCCAAAAATCCGAAAAGCGCATCTTGAAAGGCAATCCCTCAAGGGAGGCGGGCCCGTAACCTCTCCTTTTGAATTGAAAACAACATCCAACAAATTGATTTGCATAGGCAAACCAAATACTGATACATGTCAACATATAGTTGGGTAGTTGGAAGCATCACGTTGCCCCGTGCGCGATTCAGCCATCCATTGCTCCCCAGACATCAGCGTCTTGCCAAAGCGCTGTTGGATGCACCGCCCGAATGAAGACAAAGAACACGAAGAGGCCTAGGTGGCAATGGACCGCCTAAAAGAGGACACATGCGATTCCGAATGTTCGTAGCTAGGTCCTCCAGTAGAGAGGCTAGAATAAGGGTACCCTTTTGTCTGTAGATTGCAAACATGTGTTCGTGCTTGCTGGGAAAACTCAAATGCACACGCTCAACCAAATCGTTGAAAGGTCAACAGGTCGCCTTTCTAATTGTCATCGGTACATGTTGCAAAGAGCGGATGAGGTGGGAAGCTAATCCTGCATTGGAGAGAGTCAAACGTTTGGAAAACAATTGAAATATGGTTGGCGGACACAAATGGGGGGTGTCTTTTTTGCGGGTGCCCTTCGGGGAGTTGCTTTAGAAGGAAACCGCAAGGACAGCTGTTACGCCATTTTGGAGGGTCCTTCTAAAAAAACCAGCCACCACATATGTTCCGATGTAGCGGAACTGAAACAGAGCTACTGCGGATGGATGAAATCCAATGGCCTAAAGGCGCGGCCTGGGTTCTGTGGGGAATGTTTCTTCATGTTGAGGGCATTCATGCGACCATGAGTCAGAATTCAAAGTCCGTACCCCCGGTGAACATCCCAATCCCCACTAAAATAGACTAAACTGGGCGGTGCACCTACCCCAAAATGGTACCAAAACGGTTTTGACCCACAGCCATGTGATGCACAGAATCAAAAGCCCGGGTATCCGGTCACCCGTTCATGGTTGAGACTAGCCCCCGTCCTTTTGCACCTCAAGCTACCCGTGTTTCAAATCCCCCTACCCGATCCAGAAAGGCTTCCCCACAAAGAAGACTCCTCCACCTACCATGTCCTTACATCTATCTCCTGGTAGCTCCTTGGCCACCAAAAAAAACCGACGCAACTTGGGATGGCTCCAGCTCGTCCGCGCCGCTCCCTGCGAGCAACCCATGGCGAAACCACGCGGAGAAGCCCAAGGAAAGCCACCGGTTGGATGGATGGCCGGCGGCGGGGCGGATGTCTCGCGGCGGTCTAAACCCAGCCCACGTTCCCTAGGTGAGCAAACCTACCCTTATTCCCACATGCGAGAATAGGATAGGAACAACATTGCAGTCGGGACTGTAACAATCGTATCAAATAAAAGTCGGAATGATACAGGAATGATCCATGTGAAAAAGGTCCAATTGGGGTTTGGGAATGATCATTTGGGGACACCATGGGCTTTAAGTATCGGTTGTGGGGTTCTATATGCATGTATTGTCCTTGTAATTTCATTTATGTTTTCCGGGGGTCCTATTTGTTGGGTGGTTTTCTTGTGTGGGAGTCCCAAAGGAAACGACAAAAAGGAGTAGACTCAAAAACATACACCATCAACTTGACTGCCCTTGGTATCGTAGCAAGGCCGCTTTCTTTTTTGCAGCCCCCAACTACAATTCAACCAAGCAACCTAAACAGAACCTTGCCACAAACAGTGAAGTTAACTTCCATTTGTTTTTTTCGCCGCCTAGAACAATGACAACATATTTCCAGTACTGAAATCAATTCCCTTTAAACCAACAAGGGAAGACAAACAAAACTTAAGCAAATGGCAGGGACAGCCGTTAAGCAAATGGAACATGAACACTAATACTAAACATGAACGGAACCCAACACAATATGTAAAAACAAACCAAAATAACAACAATGATAAAACTAAAGTAAGAAATCTGGCCAACAACGTCAAGGTTAATCACTCACCAAGAGGCCCGTCTTCGCCGCTGCGCTGGGTACCGCCTTCTTTGTGTTTTCTTCGAACTCCGCTCCACTGTAGGCGGCCACCATGGCAAAGGAGGCTGGGACTGAGCAGTGGGTTCAGCGGTTTGTCTGTTTGCTTCTTGTGAGTTCTTGCTTTGTTTGTGCGCATGGTGCTTTTGTGTTGCTTTGTTTTTGGTTTGTTGATTTGCTTTCTTGCTGTGATTGTTTGTTTGCTTGGTTGATGTTCTTTGTTTGTTTGTTTGTTTGTTTATTTGTTTGTTTGTTTGTTTGTTTGTTTATTTTGTGTGTTTTTTGTTGTTGTTGTAGTTGCCTCTGGCTGGGGAACAGGGTTCCCTACACTTCCCCGTTTGGTTGCAGCTAGGATAAAGTTGAGTCAAAGAGGCCTTGGTGGGACATAACAATTCGGCAATGGGTTCGGACCCAAGGTTGCAAGCAGGTCAGCCAGCTGGTTGGAGATACTCGAAAGCTCTGCTATGCCGGCACCGCCTCGTTCCTGGGGCCAAACGGCGCGCAAGACATGGCGTCTAAACAAAGCAGCTCCGCGCTTCCCTGAGAAACAGGTCGATCAGCTTTTGCAGGTTCACTGGAAACGGGGAAAAGGTCCCCTCCGCTTGCTTTCACCATCCCACAATTTGACGCGTCCAGCCCTACTGCTACCAATTGCCAGTGCCAGGTTCAGCGTAGACAGCTGACATGCCCGATGCATTATTACAAAGCACTGCGACCAACCCAAGAAAGAGTACCCTGACGAACAAATGGGACACAAACCCACAATTTGACGCGTGTGTGCGGACGACCTCTTTCAACACGAGTTCGTCCGAAAACTGCCAGTCTCCCAGGCTGTTTGGTGTTTTCATTCGGATCCCTGGAGAGAATCTGGTCCACTAGAGCTGGGGCATAGGCCTACCGGCTTCCCCCCCCCCCTCCCCCAACAAACAGAGAAGCAACATGTGATCCGGGAGTGTTTCAATCGACTGGGTTTACTGGCGAATCTCTTCATGGCGAATCGCTGGCAGGCTAGGTGTTGCCCAGGCGGAAAAACCATCTTTTCCTGAAAGTTCTGCGTAACCCGCAAGTGGGCTCCTGGCCCTACCATCCCGAGCACTATATATATATATATATGTATGTACATACATATAAAGAATATGCCAATATAAATCAAACTGCTGGTTGAAGAGGGGTCTGGAAACAAAACACAATGTGTTTTTCCTTTGCCGGTCTCTCTGGGAAAAGTTCCAAAAATCAGAGCTTTGGCAATGGATCCAGTTTTGGGGAGTTGATTTCAACAAGCAAACAAAGAAAAACAACACGGGTACTGGAGGTTTGGCTTCTTTCAACTGGATAAAGTGGCATCTTCAAGATAACTCTCGAAATTTTGCCGGTCCCCCAAATGAAACCAATTAAATTAAGGGATTCGGAGAACGGTAGCTGCCAGTTCAACCCGAGGGGTTGATTCTCCGTTTTCAACGCCTAAGAGGGGACATGGGGGAGGGGTGCATTCTCTTGAAGGTACCCTTTTGAGGCTTGTTTTGTCCAGCCACTTCTGTTTGTGTTGATTTGGGGTGGGGGACCCCTGTCTCGGCGAACAACCGATTCGAGCGGAATCGGAATGAATTCCTCTCCTTCAAGAAGGCATCCTCGAGATTCTGCCAGTCCGTGGCGGTCAAAACCTCCGGACGTTGCTAGAAATACATAAGTCGCTGGATTTCCCCTTTTTCAAGACTAATTCACTGGTGGAGTCCATTGAAATGGTCGCCACTTTTGACTTGAGGCCCGAAAAAGGGACACGGAGGCATTCCTGCACAAGACTGCCCCCAAAATGGCAGATCGATGTTCCTTTTCGAGACCTAAACAGTTCCCTTTCCTTGCTTGGCTTGGACCTGAGCTTTCGTGCTAGAGGCGCAATGCTGCGCGTTGCTGCACCCAGTCAGATTCGGGGTCTGGAAATCAACAAAAGCAAAATACAAGTCCCCTTAGCGTCTCGTAGTTTCCATTTCAATGAATTATCATGGCCTGTTAAGCACCCAAACGCGGGTGGGTGGAGCATAGCTTGGGTGCAAACGACTCCAGCTTTTGGGGGGGGGGGGGGAACTTTCCTCCGGAAGATCACCACCAATCCAAACCACCAGTTGGAGGGAAGCTGATTAAAGGGACGATGCCCCTTCCACACCAAAAAAACAAAAAGAAAACTCCACAGGATCGAGGGAAATCAAATGTTCGAAAGGCCAGCCCTCTCAGTGACAAACGTGGAGTTGCGCAAACAATTGTCCGATTCAAGTTGTCTTCCAAAAAGGGTCTGTGCACCACGCGGGGGGGGAGTGGACGGTCGGGTTGTTTAAGACTACCCTTTCGCAAAGGCCCCCTATCCAGTTGCATACCCTGCCCCAGAAGAACCACCATGAACCACCAAGAACCACTAACCTTTGGAACCTATGAATACTGGGTCCTCCAGTAGAGAGACTAGAATAAGGGTACTAACTTTTTTCTGTAGTCGATTTTATTAGGGGGGTAAAAGGGCACTACTGGGGCACCTAGAATATCTATGGTTCATTGTAACATGGAACCACTATGCACATCGAGGGCCTCCTTTCAGATGACAACCTTGTCATTGGAAACCGCTCAACCCCGGGAACGGCAGCCATGTATCCGCAGCTTAGGAAGTGAGTCGATCTTGGAACATAGGACAAGCTAGAGAACCTAAACTCAGAAATCAGTCTGACCTAAAAAAGAGGTCCCCGGCTTAGATTTAAGCTCGGACCCCGAATCGGGAGTTCGAGTCCCCGGCACCGCTTTCAATCCTTTCCTGGCGGGCTGGCTACAGCAGGTCTCCCTGGCTTTCCTCTGTCATTCTGGAAAAAACCGAAAGGCAATGTTTGTAAAACCACCCTGCGTGGACAAAATCCACCAGTGAGGATGGAGAGGAACCCCCTGAAAATACTGGGATAAACCAAGCTTGCTGGCTCTCAGCAGGGAATTGCTTGGAATGACCCGAGAAAACCATCCATCCTATGGTCCCCAAAACCGGTTCATTCCGATTCAACACCCTGACTTGTTGTCATCCCCTACCTACCGCACCAGCAAATATATCAAACCGTGGCTTGGATGAGACCTCAGAAGTTACACATCGGAGGCTGGACTGCTGCAGCGCCGATGACAAATCGAGCTGGACGAGTCTGAGATGGGATCTGCGTAGACACGCCACTGGGACTCATGGTGTAACCACTTGGTTCGGGAAACAAAGGCAAGCTTGACTCGAATACCAACGGGGCCGGTGCGACGACGTGCGGCACGTGAACGGCCCGGTCCAGGTATGGTCTCAGCCTGGTTGCGGTGTGATTCCCCGTTTCCTCCAGTCGGTGAAGCTAAACACATGGCGGCAAACTCCAAAAACATCATGCCATAGAGGTGAGCATCCTGTTGGTGGGCTCGTGGGCTATGGGATGGGATTGGATTGGTTGCAGAGGAATCATCCACAGAGGCGAAGCTTCTGAATATCCCTGAGTCTCATTGGGACGTAGCCGTGCACAAACCACTCGTGACAAGGAGTGGTGCAGGAACAACGTAGGCAACATACGATGTGTCCCTCATATTCCTCATGTTGATCCCCCCCCCCCCTTCAAGAACATATGCCATGGTCGTGCACCGTCCCAGGCATAAATATTTTGCCCTTGGTTTAACGGTCAAGGCTAGAATGATTCCAGCTGAAGGCTTCTGCAAATGGCGAGCCATTCCGAATACGTGAGGATGTCCGCAAACAGGAAACATCATGCAGGGCACAAGCTCCCCGCATGTAGGTGAATCATGGTACGACTTCCCTCCAAACTAAGATCAAAACGGGCGACACGCACGGCAAACTTTTTAGTATAGAGGAATCTCACGCGCGGCAAACTTTTTAGTATAGTGGAATCTCCCTTTGAGGGGCTGCCTATGTATGTTCCATGTTGCTCTGCAGGGGTAAGTGTGCACTGAGGAACACTATGAATCAAGTTCACGGAATACCTCTTCAGAAGGACCTGTCGGCTCATGAGCAACGCACAGTTCGAATGCTTTGCACATTTGCTTCATACCACTTCATTTCTGTCTAGGCTTCCCAAAATCAGAAGATCACAAGCCAAACAAAATATAAAAGCAAAAGTGGTTGGGCCCAAATACCCACCACTCAGGACATCCCTTTCTGTCCAAAAGATAAAAGCAGGTCTCCTGCTTTCCACCGCTCGCAAGCCAAACTCATCCGCCCTGAGCAGAGAGAGAAAAAGAGAGACAGAGAGAGAGAAAGAGAGAGAGAGAGAGAAAGAGAGAGAGAGAGAGAGAGCGAGCTGTACATATGCCTTTGATATTGGTAGGTGTCTTTTTTTGAGGGTACCCCTTTTGGAGTAGTGTTAAATGGAAACCAACAGGACATTAACCATTCTTGGGGTACCCCAATTTTAAGACACACCCATTTGCAGTAACCTCGGCGATCCCACATTTCACACGTCTGATTCCTAGGGTGCCCGCCCGAACGCCATCATTCCGCTCTGCTTGTTTTTCCTCCGCAGGCCGTGCTGTTTACGCCAAGACGCCCTGCAAACTTTCGGCGGAGCGGCGTGGTAAGGGGCTCGAAAAGCCAAGATGGCCACATGCCTCCGAGGAAAGTTGGTTTGTCTCTGAGGGCAAAGCGGGACATACCTGAATCCTCCTGCGGACGAACAAGGAACCCGACAAACCATATGCTTGGATTTAGGCTCACTGGTAGTGTAGGCGGTTTCTTTCTTCTTCTTTTTCTTGGCGAACCACCCTCAATAAGAACAACACATGCTGAGCCCCTCTGACACAAAACGGCATGGCCACCGTGGGCCTTTCCCAATTCGGGAAAGCGCAGGCATCGAGCCAACGCAGCGCTCAAAGCCAAGGCGCGGGCAGTTTGAGCCATGTCTGAGACACCGTAGCAGGGTGGTCGCGTTGACCCCCTTTTTGGTTGGCGTCGTTAGTGTAAAACCAGCTTTCGCCTGACAGTGCACCAAAAACCGAAAAAAAGACAAACAAACAAGAAACAAGTGGTGCAATTAAGGAACGGGTGGTGGAGTTGCGTAAAGCGAAGTAGCCGGCTCATGTCACTAAGCGGACATTCGTAAAACACATGCCAATGATGGGGGGACAATGTATGTGGGGCGGGGCTGTCTTCTTTCACTTTGCGGGTATATGCTTCATCCAAAATCAGACCTCGAACCCATTAGAGAATTTGTGAATCTCCAATGGACTCGGTTTGCCTTTTGGTTTGTCTTTGAAACAGACTCAAAAAGGGTACCCTCAAAACAAGGGTAGCCACTGCGGAACATTCGGCTTGGGTTGCCTGATCTGTGTGATTTGCCAGGGGAATCCCCAATTGAATTGGTCATAGATGGATGGGAATCAACCGCCACATGGGATGACAAATGTATCTCTGCGACCTTTTCCATTTCCACATGCATGGGTACAGGATACAAAATAGGGGGACCCCCCCCAACAATTTGCTTTCTCTTGTTTTCCCTTTAAACCAATCCCGAAAAACGGGCACACTCACAAACACAAAAACACAACCCCACGTATGCAGGGTACAACCCCGGCTCTGAGCAGTGAAACGCAGGATCGCCCAGGTCTTCTGGGCCAGACTGGGCGACAGATCCGATCCAAAACGTTGCGACTTGCTGGGTGAAAGGGATACCTTTGCTGAGCTTTCTCGCCGCCAGGAACAAATACAACATATGCCCAGTGGTGAAACCGATTCCCTTTGAGGGGAAAATGAAAAAAAACACAGGTCTTAAGCAAATGACAGAAGACCAAACAAAAACAGCTGGCCACTCATTGGTGGTTTGGAGCTCGGTGGTTTGGAGGTTTTTATCCGAAGATTTGCCATGTTCCATTCCAAAAAGCCAGGGATCCAAATCCCATTGCAAACCACAAATCCGACCACTTGTTGCGTGAAAGGGAGAAAAACGAAACATCAACACAAAGTGAAACATATCAACATTTCTACCTTTTACTGGGGTAGTGCATTGAATTTCAGGCTCTTTCAGCACCTCCCCTCTACGTCTTGATGCTTTTGGCCAAGAACCATCTGTTTGCCACTCGCATCTCTTCAACCTCCATTTCCTCAAGCCCTGAAATTATGTCCACTGAAGCCGATTCCCTGTAAAACCAGCGGAGAAAGAAACACATATCATTACACCACTGGAGGTCAAACATGCAGATGCTGGCTCAGGCTTCTTGCCCCAAGGGCCCTCTGGGGCAAGAAATCACTTTGGACTCCTTCTAGCCCGAAGAATTCGAATGGATCATTCCCCCGACTCTACGGGCTTTTGGAAAACAGCCTGGGAATATGCCCACTGGGTATAAAACCCTGTTATTTTGAATCCCAAGGGTGTAATCCCAGTGTAATACAAACCCTCAGACCTACGGGAACCCCCGACGAGCCCGGAGGGCATAGAGTTTACATGCTGTTAACATTCTGAAGGGCGCCCGTTTGAGAACCGTAAGGTCACTTTGTGTGGGAGAGACGCAATACGCTCTTCTGCATGCCAAAAGCCCGGGCAGTTTAGGGACCTGCACAAAGGCCGACGCCGATCCCGAAAGCTAAGAAAGGTCCAAGCTCAGGGAGGAAACACCCACGGGCCCATTCAGGGGTCCTCGCTTGCACTTAGACATCCCTTAATGGGTCGTAAGTCTCAATCGACTGTGGAAGCATTTGATTAAGATATACTAAGATCTGCTCAAGGGACCCACCAAGAAGTAAATGCATGGTGCAGAGCGTGAATCTGTCTAACCTCACAGCTGACCTTTTGGAAAACCACATTACCCTAGAAAATGGGGCATGGAACCAATATAAACCAGTAGAACCAATCTAGCCAAACTAACCGAACAAACAAAATAAAGGACATTCAGCTACCCCCAAACTTAAACGGTGCAAACATGGAATATGTCTGGAGGCTTCGCTTTAAAGGGCCGCCCTCGCTTTGCCTTATTTTTCAGTCTGTGATTCAACGGCCGGCCTTCGTTTTACAGAATGTTAAAGCCCAATTCCACCCGAATCCATGATCCCTGGATCGCCAGCTGCGATCGTTTTATTCTCCATGCACTTTACCCCAAAAGCCGGCAACAGGCGACTGAAAAAAGCGATGGCAACTTGGGCTATCTAGGTCCTTCAATTCAACGGCCCGCCTTCGTGTTACAGGGTTTTAAAGCCCAATTCCACCCGAATCCATCATCATTGCGATCGTTTTTTTCCATGCACTTTACCCCAACCACCCGCAACAGGTGATTGAAAAAAGCGCTCGCAACTTGGCTATCTAGGTCCTTTACAGGGTTTTAGCCCAATCCCCCCCGAATACATGAGCCTTGCGGGGGATCCGACTCGCATCTGTGCAGCGATCACTCGGCTGAGTTGCAGCGATATCAAGGCTTGGCACCTTCGCGGATCAGCACTTCAGCACAAAGCTCCTGCGCTGCGTGCATCACTGGACTTCATCCCTGGCTTCGGGACCCTTTGGCCGGGCCCCAAAAAAGGGGCACCTAGATGACCAAGTTGCGAATGAACAAAAACAGCAACTGGCGATCCAGGCAACTCCAAAAAGGGATTCTGTTTTTTCAACCCAAAGCACATGTGGTCCAAACATGGTCCCACAAATGGTCCACCAAATGCTGGGGGGGGGGCTTATGTTTGCTTGGTGGCTCGTCCATCTTTGGTGGGGCCCGGCCACCAAAACGGAAGCTTCCCCTTCGCAAGGCTCAACGGCTAGATGTCGTTTTGGGGAAAGACCCTCAACTAAGCCCCCCAGATTTGAGAGGTTGGAATAAGGGTACTCGATGTGTTTTTCTGGTTTGTCTATTTTAGTAGGGGAATCCAAAACCCCCAAAAAGGGGACAGAAGGGCACTACAGGGGGACCTAGTCAAACATGATTAACGAAAATAGGCTCAAGGTCTAAGGGTCATGACCCCCCGGACCCTCCAATGGACAACCCCGGCCCCTCAAGGGCCCTCAACAACAACCCATTTGGAGGGCCCAAAAACAGGCGGGACCCTTAGGGAGGTCAACTTTTCCAAAGTTGCACTCTCATGGTTCAAAAGCCCCAGCACATGTTTCTTGGCCATGCCCCGGCATCTTAGCAACAAAGCTTGGATCTTTGCAGTCCGCACAAAAGAAGGACAGAACCGACCAAGCAACTGTTGCACAGCACTTAACCGTGCGACGTGCCCATCCCGACTAAACATGAAATAGGGTCAAAAACACAATGGTGTCTATATGTTTCCCATCTAAACAAAACCCCATCAAAAGAAAACAAACTTGACAAGAAACCAAACTGTGACGAGTAAAACCATCAATGGGGAAATATAGGAAACCCGGCAAGCATAGATCGGCAAGTCGCGAAGTTCCGGGGCGGCAAGATGTACGATGGACAGCCGCATTATCTAGAGTTCAACACCCTCATACGGCGGATAGACCAAATCCTGGACCAGTTGGTCCCAGTGTTTCTGCTGGGTTTCGTTCATGCCTGGATTTTGTTTATCCACAGTAGGAAGGAAACTAAAGGCCCGACTTGGGGCGTAAACCAGCGAGACTACAGTTGACCTCCATCTGTACTCCACTTTTTCAACAAAACAACAGGTTGTAAGTTTCGCCCAACCCCTCAAGAAACAAAACACATCGAAAGCGCACAAACTGACAAATGATGACAAGACCCCAAAAAGCAACAACAGCAAATCATGCCAAGAAGCTTGAAGAAGCATCCGCCGAAGCGTCCAAACCCGTTCACCGGCCGTCCTTGCCCCGCTCCCTCGCTAGCTGCAGCAGCGTGTGCCCGCCCCCGTTCTGGGCCTCTACGTCCAGGCCTGCGAATCGGGCGTTTCCATGAAGAAACCGAAGGGTACCCCTTGGTTGCTGCAACGACCCTGCAAAAAGTGCTTAACTTTTTGGGGGTTTAGTGGAAGACCCCTTGACATTTCAAAAAGTTGAAGTCTAAAGATCCAACCCAACAGCAGTCAAGCCTACTACAGATTCACGTGGAACCTGAACATCCGCCAGGTTTACGCGGACATATCTCTTTTGGGAACCTGTTTGGATTCCATGTTCACTTGTACGGGAGTAAATCTGATTTGGCGCCGAAAAGTGACATTTCAAGGATTGTCCAAACTGTGTCCCCGCCACCAAAATAGATCTGAATCGGTTACAGCAATCATGGGTACAACATCTATGAGGGTGCGGGTGGCGGGCCTGACTTGCTCTCAGGGTGCTCTACAGTGGGGGATGCTGGTTGGCCGTGGCTGCGTGCACCCAAGCCGTCGCACACAAAGAGACACACAACGCACACGTCCGCACAGGTTTTGATGAATCGGATATTCCCCAAAACAAACAATACTGCGGTGGATGGACGAAATCCTGCACCACCTCCGACAGCCTAGGAGGATGATTCCCCTTCAAAACCCAACAGCCATATGGTTTCCTGTGGTTTGGAAGTGGTGCAGGATGTCGTCCATCCACAGTGTGGCTAGTATGTTCCACCCAAAGGTCAGAATTCTACGGTGGACAGCTCCAGGAAAGTCTCATTTAGAATAGGCTGGGTCCAGCTTGTTGGGTCTGAACGCCTACTTCAGAAGTGGGTTGGCTGTGGTAGCTCCAAGCTAAACATGGCTGGGCTGAGAAAAGTACAGGGCCGCCGTCAGAAGAAACACCCGGCCCAACAATATTCTATCGTAGGGTGTTAAGCCACTCCAAGAGCTGTCTGAATCACCAGCAAACATCACAGGTGGTCTGAATCCCGCACTAGGTAACCCCCAACCAGGGATTCTGCTTTCTCCGAGGCTTCCCATTTATGTTAACCCCGGATTTATGAACCCCTGGTTCATTAATAGGCGGGTGTCCCCTTTTAGTGGGAATTCGTCACTCGTGGGAACACCCCCCTAGTGGGACGGGCCGTCGCCTCGGCCCAGAAGCTGCCGCAAAGTCTCCGCATCATCTCGCATCACCGCCTCACGGTTCACGACGGTGAAGGCAATTCCGGGCCTTGCTCCTGGGTCTCATATACCTATGTATAGAGAGATTTGTATATCTGTCATGCGTATGTATACATATATATATATATACACACGTGTGATGTGTGCAAATAGGTTGTGAGGTGCCCTGTTTGAAACCGCTACTTTTGGGGTCCCCCCAATTTGACAAATACATACTCACATCCCCCCTGCGTAAAACCGAAAGGGGAAATAAAGGGAACCCCGCTGCTTTCGCACGCCAGCCAATGACCGAGGTTCTAACCTATATGGCCTGGGCTTAAAGGATACCAAAGAAAACCAAAGTCAGCGATTCCGGTTGATTAGCATTCCATGTGTAAGTTTCAAACCCAAAGGGGTACAGGGAGACCGGCCCTTTCCAACAGGACGGACTTCCACTCAGGGAGGCGACTGTGACATCTCTCAGCATGGCTGGGGGGAACAGAAGCTTAGGTTCTGAGTCAGTTGGGTATGGCGTATGGACGACCGCCATACTGCACGTTCCCTGTCAACAGAAATCCGTGATTGAGCTGCGTCTTTGGCTAACATGCCAAGCCAAAGTCCTTGCAGGACTGCAAACCACATGATAGCAATCTTGTGCAAATTGTAGACATATGGGTGCCAATCCAGCGTGAAATGTGCCATGGTGAAAGATCCTTTATGCGGGCACCGGTCGGACCTGGTCTTGTAGGAACTTGCGCTGCAGAGCTCGGTTGCTTGGTGGGTGCAGTATGTTTCTCGTTTGTCACATGGGCGGCAACATCACGTGTGTTGAGGCTACCTTTTTGGGAGGTTTTCAAAAAGAACTCTTTTTAGGGGGTTTTCCAAAACAAGCCATTGGTGGGAGGGTTCTCGGTTCGGGGTAGCCTTCCTCCGCAGGATACCTGGATCGAGGGTAGTTTTCGTCTCAAAGCTCCAGTATGGATTTTGCAGCCACCTTGTGGGTATTGTATTTTTTCGCTTGACTGCAATCTATACTGAATTCCTGAGTGGATTGGCCAATTGTTGTTTACCACCAAAATGCCCCAAGCCCAAAGAGTGACTAATGCCCGAAACGGAACTCAGGGACTAAGTTCCTGGCCTAAAGACCGGATTAACCCGGAGGAGCCAAATAGAGGAACAGCGATGATTTCGCCCCTGATTAGTAAGGTCCTCCGGGTTAATCCGAAGTGGGCGTGAGTTTTAATTTCATCATTAGGGGATTGATGTCCACCAAACACGTGTTGAGCTGGTCCCCTACTAAGATTCAACTTTTGAGCTGGCTCCCCCCCCAAGAAAAACAGTGCTAAACTATTTCACAATACGCAAAGGGACCCCCTGATATTCGTGCGGTCCTGCGGATTCATCCGAAGTCAACTTTCTACTCTACGCGGTCCCTAGTCCTCCAGCGGAGAGGTTAGAATAAGGGGTCCCTTTTTCTGTGGTCTATTTTAGTAGGGGAACCCTCCCCCAAAAAGGGTACAAGCGCACTACTGGGGGACCTGGAGTCCCTCAATCAACTGAAACCGCGAACCGCGAACGAATTGCCGACGCCTGGAAGCCCTGCTTGTCGATGTCTCCGCCCACCTTGCCTGGCTGAAACGCCTTCTTCGGGAAGAAATGCGCGGAAGGAAGCGGCTCAGCCATGCGCATTTTTTTTGGTCTGGAGACAAACAGCATGTGTCCAGTGAAAGGTTCCCTTTGAACAGTTCCTTCCAGCAAATGGAGGTATGTATGTATGTCAGATGCATCTGTTTATGGCTGATGTCAAACGACGTGAAGAATAAACTCCTTCCAACGCAATTAGATAAACCAGGGCGGCCGCAAAAGGACCTGACGCTGACTTCGCATTTTGACGCCGCATTCGAGAAACCTTTGACGTCTCATTCTCTGACGCTCGCATTCTCTGACGCCACACTCTCCCCTGGTTCTCTGGCGCAACATTTTCGGCTGACGCCGTGTTGCGACGCCGCATTGCGACCCCGCGTTCTTCCCTGACCCCTGACACCACATCCACTCCTGACGCCGCATTCCTGGTTGACGCCACACTCCGACGCCACATTCCTCCCTGACGCCGCATTCCCGGCTAACGCCGTATTCCGTCGCCGCGTTTCCTGACGCCACAGTCTTGCTGACGCCGCATTCCCGGCTGACGCCGCGTTCCGATGCTTTTATGGTCACCGGGTCGCCCAGAGGAAGAGGACAGGAGTGAGCGCGAAGAGCTAACACTTGAAGGTAGCGTTTGGGGGGAAGAAGAATAACACTGGAGATCTCGAGTCGAATCTCGAGATCCGCGGCGTGCTGGGTTGGGCCAACGCCATGTTTGAACATGTTTGAATAGCTACTGTGGATGGTTGCGATATCCATTTCGCACCACTTTGAAACCCTGGTTGAACCATTGCGTCATTCCAGAGGTTCTCAGCCGGTGCGAAATCGATTTTCGTCCAACCACAATATATATTGTTTAAACCGCCTCGTGTTTTCCACCCCGCCCCACCCTGCTCCAGCCCCGCGTTTCGCCACTTCCGCGCCTAGGGCCAGGGAGTCTTGGTAGAGCTGCAGCGCCGCCTGCGCCTTGGGGTCTTTGAAGTCCTCGAGCCGATCGCCGGCACTCGGCCGAGCGAAGCTCGGAGAAGGACTCGGCAAGACTGCGACAAGGTCCTCCAGTAGAGCGGTTAGAACAGGGTACCAACTTTTTCCTGTCTAGTTTTAGTAGGGGAACCCTCCCAACCAAAAAGGGGAGAGAAGGGCAATACAAATGGACCTAGACTTGGTGGGTTGGTTTGGTGGTTTGGACCTTGGGGGCCAACTTCCCCATTTGGTTTCGCAAGGAAGGGTTCAAATCCCAAACCACCAAGTAAGAGTTGCGAGCAAAAGCTTCAATGGGAGTTGGGGAACATCAAACCAAAACCCTGGCCCGGAATCTCGCGGTGAAGTAACACCTTGAAAGAACACCATGGAGGCCGCAAACCTGCTGAAGGTCCCCAACCTTCTTTCGCCCAAACAAAAGCCACGTTCTAAACCGCCAAAGGAGGAACTATGAGGAACAATGAGCCACACACACACACACACCCAATTCAACAGCAAGCCAATAGAAGGAAACACCAAACGCAAGAATCTCCCCAAATCTCCCCAAAAGGGCGGGTCTTCTACAATAGACAAATCAGACAATTTGGGCTGTTGACCGCACCCAAAAGGCAACAACAGAGTTGGTTCAAATTGGCAAGCGGAAGGCGATATTCAAAACCTCCAGAAGGTTCTGTGTCCAACTAGGGGGACCTCCAAAATGCTGGTTTTACTTTTTGTGTCCCTGTCAAAACCCCCCAAAACGGTACCCTACAAAACAGTCCTTCTGGGCAAAGCTGGGGAAGTTCTTCCCAGAAACCACAAAAAACACCCCTTCCCCCAAAAAACAGGTTTCCCAGGTTTGTCTGTTTGGGGCTTTTCCGGGGAGAACGGGCGACACCCCTGGGATGATTCCTGGAAACCCATTGCTGGGAAAACCAGTTTGGGGGGGTCCATTTTCAGACACACACATGTTTGAATATACATGTGTAACAAGCAAACAAATTTCTTTACGGCTTTCCATTTGACGCTAGCGCTCCAAGCCAAAGTAAACGAGAAACTCCTGGTGTTTTTTGGTGCAACACCCGGGCAAACCCAACAAAACCTCAAGGAAACCCAAGGAAACCCATGGAAACCCATGGCTGTCGGGCCGTTTTTCGTGCGGAAGCTCCGGGCGCTTCGTCGGCTCCTTGCCGGCCAAGGACCGCAGGGTCTCGTCCTCCTCCAGGGCCCCCTGGAGCCGCAGGTCCATGCGGGCCATGGCCTAAGGCCAAGGCTCGGCCGAGCCCCGAGCCTCGCTTTGGAAAGAGTAAGCGGAAAGATGCAAGGGCCAGTTTTCCTTTTATGGCTTGGTAGGCGATGGTATGTAGCGCGATGCTACTCGTGGCCGGGCCACTATTGGGGCGGCTCAGATCCTCCCAACTACCGGTGCTGCTCACGCCGTGCCGCGGAGACCACAACAAGACCGGCTATGGCTATTTGGCAATAGATCGTTGGACTTTTTCAGCTTTCTGGCAACTGCGGAGTTCCATTGAAACCACACTTAGTTCTGTGGCAGAGACAGACATTCTCCACTGATCTTTGGACTTTAACTTGTTGGTTGAAACTGCCGGAATTGTCCGAATTGAAGCCACACAAAGTTAAAAACTTTTTGCAGAGGGGCAACAGAACCAAGATTGTTCGAGAGTTTGAAGAGGAACCCAAAGGAGAACATTCTCTGGGAAAGGTCCGGATCCACCTTTTGTAGGAATGAACAAACCACAAAACCCCAAAGCGCCGGGCGATTCGGGCGCACAGATCCACGTAATTGCGCCTGCCCCGAAATGGACATAAACCATGCGAATGAGGTCTAGAGGACATCACAAGAAGCCCTTCAGCCAGCGGGTAGCTCCTACCTGCAAAGGTTAGAATACCAAAACGCAGAAATTTAGGATTCGAGTTTTGGGACCTACATGGCGACACTGGGATGTGGCAATTCACAATGATGGGTGACTGCGATCCTGGGGGCTAAACTGCAAGCACTAACCTCTGCCTGGATCCAGCTAGGTCCCTCCAAAAAGTGCCCCAACGTCCTGCTAGGAGGAAGTAACGGAAAACCAAAAGGCAACAAGTCAAAAGGAAAGCTAAGCTTGGCGATGCTAACGAATATGGAACCTGAAAGGGACCATCTGGCTTCGACACAGGTGACATGTTTGGTTTTGGAGGGGAACCTCCCATGCGGTAATTTGGCCCCCTCCCGCAACCACCCGAAAATGATAGCCCAAACAGCGGCTCAACCTCCAAAAATAATGGCAAACCTAGCCCCAGACCCGAGCCTCCAGCAAGGTGACATTCTCAAAATGCTGCTCTAAACCTCAAAATCAGGATTGCATTTGAGTTCACGACCCCCAAGATAAACTTGAATTCCGTCTTCCCCCTCTTCCCACACCCCACACCCCACACACCCCACACCCCACCACCCCCCCTCCCCCCCCGGCCTGAAGGTCCCCATCCATCGCCGCCTGGTGCAGCTTGGCGAGGTTCATCGGCTCCTCCACTCGCGTCGCCCGCGTCGCCCACGCCACGTGCACCGCAGAAGCCGCTTGGGGTGAAACATCCAAACCGAACCCCCTACCCTACCCTCACTCCGACTAACATGGCACCTGCCAGAGGGTCCCTACAAGAGGAAAATTATCTTCCAGGTACCCTCCAGCAGATGCTATGTTAGTGGGAGGGAGGGTAGATACCCTAGGTCTTCCTGTACAAAAGGTCAGAATAATCGTACCCATTTTGTGTGTAGTCTGTTTTAGTGGGGGAACCCTCCCCAAAAAAGGGTAAACGGTAAAAGGGCACTACTGGGGGACCTAGTACCTACGGAGCTACCCTCCCACCAATTGACATGGAACCTGAAAGGGGGGGTCCTGGAAGACCGTTTCCCTTTTAAAGAGACTGTCAACATCAGTGCCCTGAAAAGAGATACACCTATGCGCGGTTTTGAGGTCCTTCAGCTTGGCCCAAATGTGGGGTACGGAAAAAAACTTTCCGATTATGTTTCACACGTTCAGCTTAGAATGGAACAAATGACCTGACACACTCCAATTTCACTCGTTTTGGATGAAATCCTGCACCAATTGGTAGATATCTTATTTCAATATTCATAAATGTATCCATCCCGGCTTGTGCGAAAAGGTTTCTGTGTTCAAAGGAAACGACTTGCTTGACGTTTGAAGGGGACCAACAAATCAAATTTTAGCAGTTAAGTGGGGATCACAATAAGCAACAATTCAAAATGTTTCCCAACAACAACCGTGACCAAGAGGAACAGTGATCCACTCCGCTGCTAAGTGGAACTCCTCCCCAACAATCAACCTTACGAGGATCAATCCTGGCTCACGATTCAACCTTATCCAACGGCGTGTTTGGATGCCACAGCTGGCAACCAGCCCCGTGGTCCTCGTGCATTGGCTTGTCCTGGCGAGTTCTGGATATGACGGAGCGCTACCGGCACGCAAAACCTCAATCTGTGAGCCCAAGGTCAGTCCCTCAAAAGAAGGCAACAAAACACCAAAAGCCTGCATCCGCGGGCCATGGAGTCACGGCTTTGTCACGGCTTTTCTAGGTGCCAACTTAGAAAAAGTGGGTTTCTGAATGGTCGATTCAGGGCTTTATGACCATCCCTTTGCTACCCCAAAAGGTCAACAATAACACAATGATCGGCTTTTTGGCGCCCCAGCAACCCCAGAAAAAATCCCTTTGCCACAAGGTCGATACTCTGCTGGGAACCCACAGAGCTGATACAGACAGAAGGCCTAAGCCAATGCCGGCCAATGCCCACCAAACTGCTTGAGTAAAAGCTGTTGGGATCATGGGCTTTGGTCGATTTAGCCCTTCACCCGGACAAAACATCTATCTGGTTTTGCCAGTTTCTTGTTTTTGGCTTCCTCTACCTACAAGTGGCTGTGGCTCAAAAAAGTGGTACCAATTTTGTGGCCCCTTGGATGGACACAAAGACCAAAACCTGCGTAACCCCAGCTCCGTAATTTTGAGCCACACCCAAGTGCCCGTGGGTCTCTCAGACGACGTCGAGTCACCGGGAGATGGCCTCAATGGCTGGCGCGGGCGGGCGTTGCAGCAGCAGCTGCTCCGCTTCCTGGCTTCCAGCTGCGTTTTCGCCCTGCTTGGTATCTTCCTCAGTTGCCCCTTAGGGTTCCAGAAAAAAAACGTTGACCTTTGGGGGGCCATGACGAAAGATGGACCAAAACGGGGAAGCCAAAAGGTCAACCTCCATTTGCATGTTTCGCCTGGGAAAAATGAGAAAACAGTTCCAGTAGTCAAATCGAGTCCCTTTAAAACCAACAGCGGAAAATGAAACATATTCTTAAGCCATTCGAAGTGAGCAACACTTGTCGGGCAGGTATCAAATGGGTTTCCTATCGCAGACACCTTCAGTGTCGACCCCTGCGCCATTCCATGGGCCGCCAAATATTGCTTCCAACCTACCAACTGCTTTCTAAGAACATCCTGAAACTATGCGTAAATTCTGGACGCGGCCCCAGTACTTTTGTCAAAGTCACCCCCTAATTGCTCAGTTAAGGGGGTCAAACACTGACCCTACTGTGGAGGAACGAAATGATCCTTTGAAAGGGACCCCCCTGTAGCATTGGTGGGAGGATGAAGGGAAACAACCCCAGTCTGAGATTGATAACCCCAGAAACCATCACGATGCTGACCGTAGCTTGCGGTTGCCAAACACTACGTCCCTAACCAGAACTCCGATCGCTAGCTCCCAAAGCTCCCTCTATAGGTAAGTTTGGACACCCCATGTTCCAGGCACCGACTTAACCTGTCCTCCAACCGCTGCTTGTCTTCCTCGCGGCTGCCGCTAGGTGCTTCCTACGCGCCAGCACATGTCTCAAACCGGATCACTGCTTCCTTTCCCTTCGGCCCACGCTCCAAAACACGGGTCACCAGATGTTCACCTCAAAAGTTGCAAATTGACTGGGGTCCAGAAGCTCCAAAAAGGAAACATGGAGGAACCACGAAGAAGTTGCATTCAACACATGCACACCTCTGTGGAGTCTGGCAAAAAATCGAAAGCCCATGGGGTGTCAGCGCCATAAAGCTTGGACACATTCATAGGCGGGGGGGCTGGCAAGAATAGAAAGGAACATCTCTCCCCTTTTGGCTTGCGTCTCACGGGGTTGAGGATTCTTGGCAAGTTGACGGCGCCCAGATTTGGTAAGTGTGCGACTTGAAAAATGCTGCCAGGATCCCGCTTCACGAAGCGATAAAACCCCAAGAACGGCGACACGCGGCTAGCTTAAGACAGCTTCTCTTGGTGCGAACACCTGCACAGGTGCCCTGCGCCTGTGTTGTCCTTTTCAGGCACGCACACCCTTGCAAAGACTAAGGCAGTGCACACGCCACAATCCGAAAAACCCAACCGTTGGTGTCAACCGCTTGTGAATATAATAGCCAAACCCGTCCTAGAGCTCATTTCACTTATGGCGCCAGGGAGTGAGTGTTGGATGCTGACCCAGCATTAATAAATCCATGGTTGGTTCATAGCGAGTGCTCATTCAAGGAGGTCCTTCGCTTTTGTGGCGCCCCCGCTTAACCCCGGCCTTTAAAGCCTTGCAACCACTCTTGTAGCATAATGTTGACCCCGGATTAATAAACCCCTGTTTATTAATATGGGGGTGTTCCCCCCAAAAGTGATAAATCCCCACTAAAACCAGGGGCACCCCCATATTAATAAACAGGGGTTTCTTAATCCGGGGTCAACATTACTGCACCCTTCCATCAAGAACGCCCCCGAGTCCAACCAGGGGCTCCCAGTCAGGTTCGGCAATGGTGGGAGGGCGCGGGGCATTCACGAGAATGTTCGCCCCACAAATGACGCCATCTCATTTTCACCGCTCGGGAGGTGATAGACGAGCGGATTGAAGTGATTACGCGGCTGGTACAGGAATGTCACTCTCTTTTCCTCCGACTTCTCTTGGCTTCTTGCAATTAAGCATAAGCTTGTGTGACGGGCTGTTGGCATGTTGTAATCCAACGGTGCCCTGTTAATTCCAAATAAACTCAATTTGCTTAAGCCCCCTAGAAAAGTGCCCAGTAGCAGTTTAGTAATAGATTCGGTTCAAATAGATTCGGTTCAAAACCGAAAAGGGGGGAGACTTCAAATCTGCCACAACTCCAACTGGTACTCTTGGCCAATCCACGGAAGTGAGATGAAAAGCCGGCAACTCAGGGAGTGAGACATCCAAATGACGCGCTGGCATGGCAAACTTGCAGGGCTGCCGATATTTCCCTTCAAAGATCACCCCAGCAAAAGGAAACTCACGTCAGACAAACAGAAGGGGGAAACCATGGACCTTGTTCTGTGGAGCTCTTATTTTGCACCTCTTTAGTGGGAGATTCTCCAACTCTTTCCCATTTGAGAAAACCTCAGCCAAGCAGGGCCCCCCCACCCCCTTTCTGTTGAATTATTAGGACCTTACTAAGCTTCTAGGCCCGGCGCTAAGCCCTGCAGCCAACCAGGGGGGCTTGGGGGTTACTTGCTGGTGCTCAGAAATGGAATGACCCTCATAAACCATCCAACGGGCGGTTAGGGACCAACGCCGGCGTTCCAATTCTTCCCTACCTATCGCAGCAGCAAGGCAGGGGGGGAACCAGGAACCCTGCGGGCTGGAGGCTCGGATGCCCAGTGGCCAGTGGAAAAAAGCATCGGCATCTTTTTTTTGGGTTGGTTGAGTTTATCCCCACTCGCTCTTGCGCGCCGGTCCGCAGCCATAGCAGCGAAGCCGGGTGTCCAGGGTTGGTCGAGTTTAAAGGGAACCCAAAACCAAACAAAAATGAAAAAAGACGGCACAATCCACTGGGCTTAACTGCAAAGTTGCCGTTTCGATCCCTTTGCGACGTGCATCGGCCGACGCGCGCCGCGCGCGGCTCGGTCCATGAGGCGGCGCAGCGGGTTCTCGGGCTCCGTGAGTGCCAGATCCGCCTGGAGCGCCAGGCGCTCGCGCAGCGCCAGGCCCCGACCAGGCGCCACCGAAGGCGCCATGGCGAGCGTGTTTTTTTTCTGCGGCGCTTTGGTTTTGGCTTTTGGGATGCAAAAAAAACGGGGACGAGGAAACCGATTGACCTAGAAAAACAGAAAACACACACGTGAGGATTATGTTCTGGATTTTTTGGGATGGCGAACCTTGGCTAACAAGATGTATGCCTTGGCGATTATTTGGCGCAGCATTGGAAAAGATGTCCGGTCGGGCCAGCCTGGTGCAACAACAAGTGTCCCTCAGGCCGCCGGATTAAACAACAAAACGATGCCCATGGCAAAAACACATAAAGCTCTTCCCAACCAGCATCTGACCTTTTGGCCGGCGCCTGTTCCTGGCAAAGGTGCACATCCACTGGATCGCCGTGCTCAAGCCAAATGTCAAATCAGATTCGGGTGCAATCGGAAGAGCGGATGCGGATCTATTCGAACCTGATCTGGCTGTGGGTCAAAAATAGGTACCCCAAATGGAACGATAGTAGTGGAAACATGGACCAAAACCTGCGGTCCAATTCCTGGTGGTTAATTTTGACCCGTCTTCGAAGATCTGCGCGCACCCGTGCGTTCTGGTGCCTTTGACTTTGCAGGCTGCAGGCGTGCATACGCATGTCTGTGTGTCCGTTTGTCGTTGTCGGCTTCCCTGTGCATTGTGTCCAAATAGACCTACCATATGACGTACCCAACAACCGTTGGTTCTCCTTGTCGTACCCATAGCAACCAACCCACAAAGGGGTTCTGTCAAAAAAGGCACATCCATAAATATGTGTGTGTGTGTGCACCAGTGTGTCTGGGCATGCCGGCGTTCCCGCCTGCATCTGCGTTTGTGTATACTGCATGCATGCGTACTGCATGCTGTCCCTGTTTGTGGGGTCACCCTTTTCGAAAGGCCCTTCACGTGTGGGAAAATAGCCAAACAGGCCGTGCCCATGACTACTCCTTTACTTGGGGGATTCCCTTGGCATCACAAAGCATGCAAAAAACAAAAAAAACGCAACTGCGGACCTGCATGCCCTGCAAAGGGCTCGCACCGCCACACGCCCCCGAAGCCCCTTTCGAAATGTGTCTGGAATGATGTGAATCTAGCCGTCCTGTGGTTTCCTACAACGGTCCATGGCACGCGTCGGATGTACATCATTCTACATGGATTGTCTTTTTACGTCAAAATGTTGGGAAGGTTGTACGCGTCCATCAAGGCACCCTCTCGATCACTTCATCGCGAAATCTGTGTGGTTGCTTGTAAAGCGCATTTGTGTTTTACTGCAGGCGGAAAAAAAAAAAAAACATGGAACGAGACACCCGCTTTTCTCTGTGTTGGAGGCACTCCAATCTCACTGGCTGAGTGGATGGCCCAAAAAAAATCCAAACTTTACATCTAACACTAAAATGGTCTTCCCAAAAAGTTCAAAGTTCGTGAACTCAGGAAGTGAGGTTTCAAACGGTCCATTGCACTACTCCCTTCCGCCGGCCAGCGCCGCGTCTCTGCTTTTCTTCGCCCGTTACTGCTGCAGCCAGGTCTGCGCCTGCCGTTGGAGCCATCCGGCGGAACTGCCAGCGTGGGGCGAAGCAATTCAACGCCCTGCTGCCCCGAATTTCGGTACTTTCACTGTTTTTTTGTTCAAATGATTTCTGTCCAAATTCCACGTTCCTCAAAAGACTTCTATCCAACTCCCACCTCCCACCAAGGCATATATCCACCTCCCACCTGGCTTCGGTTTGCTGTGCCACCTGCCTTACCCAAATCCCTCCCACATCCCACCTCCCACCTGCTTTTACCAAATCCCCCCTCCCACCTGCCTTTTTCCCACACTTCGGCTCCTCCTAAAAAATCCTTCGCTCTCCCCCCTCCCCCCGTTCCGCTCCATCCCCGCGGCGCCTGATGGAACGCATTGGCATAGCTCTTGTTGCAACAACTGCAATTCATGGCAATATGTCGGATCCATTGGAGGACAGAAAAAACTCCACTAGGTCCTCCAGAGAGCTTAGAATACGGGTGCCAACTTGTTTCTGTAGTCTATTTTAGTAGCGCCCGCCACGCCGTCCGCCATCCGCCCGCGCCCCGCGCCTGGGGCTTCAGCATCTCCGCGGAGGAGAGGCGTCCGGCGCCCAGCTCCAGCGCCAAGCCGCTGAGGACCATGGCCTCGGCAGCGACTCCGCTCGCCCGCAAGCAGCGAGCCGTTCAGCCGTTCCCCCCGCTGGCCGAAGGAAGGGAGGGGGAAGTCAGCCGTTCTTCCGGATCGGCGTGTTTTTCGCTGGGAAAAATGAGAACATATGGCCAGTAGTGAAATCGATTCCCTTTTAGAAACCAAGAAGGGAAACATAAAAAAGTATACTGTTGAGCAAATGGAAGTGTTGGTCTAGGTTGGTTGGTTTGGCTGGCGGGTTTGGATTTGTGGATTTGTGGATTTGTGGATTTGTGGATTTGTGGTTTGGGTTGGTTTCGATGGTGGTGCTTTGGGTTTGGAGTGGTGGTTTGGAGCTTTGGGTTTGGAGTGGTGGTTTGGAGCCCGGTGGTTCGGAGGTCTTCCGGGAAAAGGCTGTTATTTGAGGTCTGGTGGTTCCGGTTTGCCTTTCAAAAGGGGCGACATGGGCAAAGTCATATGCGCGGAGTCCGCAAGATGAATTCCGTTTTGGGATCGACCGGGTCGGACCAAGGACCAGAGCCCCTGCTTTGAAGTAATCACCTGGCTAAGAGGGTGGTTTGGACCAGGCTTGCACCCTGCAGAAAGTGATCACTTGATGGTAAGGGAAGATGATGGACGATTATGGCAAACAGTGAGACTGTCAGGCAGTTCTTGCTAGGTAGATTCGTGATTTGCAGGAGTGGTTTCCCATGTTTACCCTGTACAAGGGGTTCAGACCCCCAAGCCACCAACACAAAACATCAATTCAGGGATGCCTGACCGGGCTTCGACAAAATTACGGGAGCCACTGGAATGACGTGGCTAGCCTGATAAACGGTGTGTTTCTGGGTTTTCCAGTGGCCGTTGATAATTTATATATATATATATGCTATAACCTGATACAATACAATAATATATATATATGCATATATATGTGCATATAAAAAGGTGTAGTTTATGCGTGCAGTGGGGGGGGTCGTCCCCCAACTAACGTAACCCGATCAATCCTTCAGGTCCAGGGCCAAACAGGGGCAAACCCAGCAACAGCCCCAGGGCCAGCCCCAGAGCCAGCCCAGGGCCAGGCCTGGGCAAGCCCCACCACAACCTCTTTTCAAACTGATGGTTTCAGGCCAAGTGACTGCAACCGCTCAGAAAGCAAGATGCCGTGCCGCGGAAAATCTGACGGACCCCGAAAAGGTGCTCAGCAAACATATCAAATGGATAGCCTGGGCCCCCAGAAACTCCCAAAGCCACTTCTGTTCCGAAAGCCGACTCCCAAAGCCCCATTAGAAAAAATCCTTTGAGTGAAACAAGGCGCCCAATGCTTGCAGCGCATCAACTTGAAACCCCTCAAACCATCCCACAAAAATAATTGCGAACACTGAGAACCGGATTGAGAACCGGATTCATGAGGGAAACCCTGAGAACCGGATTCATGAAGCTGACACCGGCCGTTCAGTCAAGGAGCACAGCGCTGAAGCATCACCAGATGCCCAGGGAAGTCCTGACTCTTCTTTCGTTTTGGACAAATACGGAGGGAGCGGGTCCCGATATGGGGGGATTCCAACTTGGCGCCGGTCCCCATATGGGTGTGGCTCAGAATTAAACAGGAGGGGTTACGCAGGTTTTGGTCCATGTTTCCACTTACCAGGGTTCCATTGTGGTACCGGTTTTTTGAGCCACAGCCATGTCAAACTTGGTCAAGGTGGTGGGGCAGCCACCAAACAAAGGAGAAAACAAATGGTGCCACCGAACAACTGAGCTCACTAAATCTCACCCTGTTAAATCCATTTCTCTGTCTAACCCTGCCCATTTTATAGGTCTGGTAGTACGAGGTATGCCTAACTACCCCAACCGGCCACCGCCAGCTCAATGACATGGGCCGTGCCTCAATCTCGTCGAGCTTTCCGCCCCTGGCAACACGACTCGGAGCTGAGTGCTGACGAAGTCACTTCCCATCGACTGGAGAGGCCACGAAAAGTGGCTGTGGGTCAAAAGTAGGGTAACCCCCAAAATGGATCCCTGGCATGTTCTTTTGAACGGCTGCTAGGAGGGGTTTGTGCGCCAAGCCCTGGCAACTGGAAACATGGACTGAAACCTGCGGTCCCCTGTTGGTTTCCTTTTGACCCATACCCAAGTAGCCTCAGACTTGTACTTGTTGCTTTTCATTAAAACGGTCCAACCCAAAAAGGGATTTGAGGCCGAAACTAGACACATCGCCCGTTAGGAAACTGAAAGGCGGAAAGGCAACCTTTGGGCTGAGGGGCTGTAGGTTTGCTTCCCGAGTGGGACCTCTTCATGGGTGACCCCCCTGCAAATGAACACGGAACCCCAAAATCACGCCTGTTGCACCTGAATCAGGTGACATGAGGAGCAATGACATTACAAGGAACATGCGAATCAGCTTCCGCTTGCGCTGCCAAACACAAGCCCGCATAAACCCACAAGCCAGTGCCATGGCCCTTAAGGAAGAACAAAGCATCTGAAGCAAATGGGTGTCTTTTTTGAGGGTATCCGCTTTTCCGGCAGAATTAATTAAAGGGGAACCGAAAGGAAACCCACTATTTTAGAGGGGGATGCAAATCCCAAAAAAAGACGCACCCAAATATACGTTCCATCGGATCAAATGCTCTAAGAAAACCGGAGTGGTTCCTTCCACCCGTCGGCAAACACTTCTCGGCCTGGGGCCGTTTTGGTTGACATACTGCGGATGGTTGCGAAAACCATGTCGCACCACTTCAGAATCCCTGGACTCATCATTCCCCAACCGTAAATACCGACAAACGTTACGGTCTCAACCATGGTTTCTGAGATTCAGATGGTGCGAAACAGATTTCGCAACCATCCACCGTATGATGCAGTATGCGTGAGTTCAGACCGCCATATTATTTTTCAAACCATCCAAAAATCACCTTCCGCCTAGTTGGTGGTTTGGATTGGTGGTTTGGGAATTTGAACCCTTGGCCCCTAACCACTAAACCACCAATCCAAAACACCGACGCATTTGGCCCCCGACCTCCACGAGAGGACCCGCGCGCCTAATATAGGAATCTAGAGTCATGATGTCCACATCCTCCTTGTGAGGCAAGAGACCCCGGAATTTGTCTCTAATGTTGAGAGTGACGAGCCTGGTGAATTTCTCAGTTGCCCAAAGGACCTGGAACTAAAAGTTAACCTTTTGGGGCCATGACTAAATATGGACCAAAATGGGAAAACCAAAAAAGGTCAAAAGGTCGGCTTTGAACAGCTGAGGAATAACTTGGGGGTGGTGCTTCCCCAAAAAGCAAATGAGTCCCTCTAAAATGGGACAGATCTCCTGCGGGCCCATTTTGAAGGAACACCCGCTGCCAAAAACGGAAAAGAAGGCACCGCTAGGCGTGCTGCAAACTGCAAAGGTAGCCTTACATAAGAACCCGCATGACAAAGGTGAAGAGGGTTGAGTGAAGGATCCTCACATATCACGACACTGCGGCTGGGAAAAACGCTTCCAAAGACTGGGCTTCAAGAAGAGGTTCGGGTCGCAATGGCTCAGGACCAAGTGGTTCCCTGGCAGTAAGATGGACAAACAAACTTCCGCGGGGATACGGAGGAAGCGGGTCCTGATATGGGGGGATTCCAACTTAGCGCCCTTTCCCATATCAAACTTAGTCAAGGTGCATCAAATGGGCGAATCCTCCCATTTTTTCTGGTTCCCCCTGTATCCCTGCTAGCTGGTTTCCCTGGCACGCAGAACTCCTCATTCCTTAGGCTCCCACTGGCATGCCGACTTTCGGCGCCAAGCGATTCCTCAGCTCCAAAACCCCACAGTACGAGTGCGATCTAGCTGGCCTTTCCGCGGGTACCTATGTGGGGGTTGGTCTCAAAGGGAAACCAATAGGAAGCCAACCGCTTTGCGGGCCTCCTAGTTTCAGACACAGCCATTCGGTTGCTTTCTGCTCCCCTGCTAAAAGTTTAACTTTTAGTGTTTTAGTTGGCAAAAAGTTAAAGTCCTAACATCCAAGCAAAATGCACCGAAGCCCATAATATGTTGCACCATCCGAAGCTTCTACGTTAATACTAGCACTAGCATTTGTGCGAGGCAGGCGCCTGCCGGACGCTCCCTGCGAACTACGTGGCTTGGTGTCGCTCATGTTGCGTCCAAATCCGGCGAAAAGCCGAGCAAAGAAGTAGTGAACATCAAGCGACTAGTAGGAGTCACCCAACTTCCATTTGCTTAAGCCCCCTGGAAAAAAATACAAGAGTGATAGATACCCTTCAAAAAAACAACAAGGGAAAACCAACCATATTTTTAAGCAACGGGAAGCAACGGGAAAACAAGGCACCCTCCAAGATTCGCTCGTGTTTCCGAAAGCTGCTGAGCTTGCCATAAGGATCCACAGACTGCTCAAGGCGTCCAAATGGATTCGAAAGGCTCATCGAGACCCAAAATTCCTCAGCAATCTTAGTGGCTGTTGATCCCTCTGCCAAAAACCACCTTGTGTGGGTCCAATGGGAAATCCAGAGTACCCCAAATAGTTACAGTCCAAAGATGCAACAAAATAGCAATGAAGCTATGAACGGGCCAAATAACTTCACTGAAGCGGGCCATGTACGCCTTTAGTTTGTGGTCTGCATCCACCACGACCACCAACAACAACGAGCAGTTGTTGTCTGTCAATGGTGTCCGTAAGGTGACCCCCGCAAAAGAATCCAAGGAGAGCAGGTTAAACCTAATGACACTGGAGGAAACCACTTCTTCATGCAACCTCGGCTAGGTTGAAAAAACGCTTGGTTGCCGTTGACCCCTCTGCAAAAAGCTTAACTTTTTGTGGGTCCAATTCGGAAAATCCCAGCTGTTTCAACCAAAAAATATGAGTCCAAAGATCCGTTACAAACAACCTGGACCCACAAATCCCATTAAAAAGGGAGCTCACCCCCCAGTTTTGTGGCTGCAACCCATTTTTAGGGGGATTTCGAGGGTCCAAAAACGACCACCTTTTGCGACACCTTGACACCCGCCAGTCCCGCCAATCCCGTCTTTCGCTGAGGGGAGGACATGTCGTAGGGGTAGGGCCCGCGGTTGAAGAAGACGTGCGCCAGGAGCAGGGCCAGGCGCGGGTCCTGCATCGACATCCAGGGCCCAAAAATCGGGCGGGGGGGGGGGGGGGGGCGGGGCCCAATTTCCATGTTCATAAAGGGAAATCATAAAGGTCTTCCGCATAAGGGGCCCAATTTCATTTTCAATTTCATTTTCCAATTTTGTCTTCCGCATAAAGGGAAATGGAAATCATGAATGGAGATCTTGACAGATGGGGATCTCCACAGGTCATAAATCACATCATAAATTCAGGGAGATCTCCAGTGGTCCACCCCCTCCCGCAATTCCATGTTTAAGGGGGGATGCATCGGCTTTTCGAACGAGATGGCAACTAATCAAAGGGTACCAAACCTCTTCCCTTTGAACAGCTCCGGCTTGCAACATTGCAAGACATCCTTAAATGATTTGGCCCAAATGGTCAAACATGATTGGACTTTAGCCAACGCTATGAAAGGATCCTGTCAACCCCTTTTGGTCACACTAAAACCCGCTAGGTCAGGATGTAATCCTCCCACAGCCAAGAAGAGGCTCCCTACGCTCACAAAAAGGCTGCAAGCCCATCTAGGGCACTGACTCTGCATGTCCTCTTTGCAACAAGTCGACTGGGCGCTCAGATTTGATCTTCTACACACATTGGCAAACCTCGAATGCTTTGTCACACCAGTGCACTGGCACAACTCAATCTGTTTGGGTCAGTGAAGGGACTAAACCAAAGGTAAAATCAAGGTCGAAAAACAGGTCTGTGGTTGAAAACACAGGGTCCCCCAAACCACCAAAGGGTCGGAATCTTGGCAAAGAGCCAATACCGGGCAAGGAAACCGCTGAAGCATCCGAAAGCCATTGGTTTTGGGACGGCATCTGCTGTTGAAACACCTGTCTTCGGACTCCACTTTGATGGTGATGATGGGCTCCTGGTTTTTGCTCCGGAAGCCGCAGCTCCAGAAGGCACCCGGTACCTCGCTGAAATCCACTTCCACAGGCAGAACGGAGGATGTACCCTGTACATAGTGTGGATGGCTGCGAAATCGAGGCCTCACCGCGAAATGGCTGGGGGTCAAAACCAATGGTACCGTTTTGGGGTAGGTGCACCACCCATTTTAGTCTATTTTAGTGGGGATTGGGATGTTTTTTTCTCATGGTTGAAACCATGACGTGTTGCTATTTACGTTGTGGAATCGGATCATTCCCTTGGGTTTCTGAACGGTGCGCCGGATGGATTTCGCAACCATCCGCAGTAGGTCCTTTGTCTTTTTCCCGGGCCGGCTGCAAAAAAAAAACGCCTTTTTCGGTGTCCCTCTGGCCGGTGTTTTTTTGAAACTTTTCAACCCGAGGCAACCCAAAGCTGGGAAGATCTCCCATCCAACCCCTCGTGGGTTTCTGGTTGGGCCGAGAAGCTTCTCCTGAAATAGGACTACCTGGATCGCCCGTGGCGATCGCCTTTTTTCCATGCACTTTGCCATCCAAAAACCAGCAACAGCGCCTGAAAAAACAGCAACTTGGCTATCTAGGTAAGTCCTCCAGATTTGAGAGCTGAGAATAAGTTGGTACCAACTTGTTTTCGGGTTTCTCTATTTTAGTGCGGGAACCCTAGACCCCAAAAAAGGGAACAAGGGAACTTTTTCTCTAGTCTATTTTAGTGGGGGAACCCTCCAACCAAAAAAGGGGAGAGAAAGGGGACTACTGGGGGACCTAGAAGAGCATTTCATGCTGCTCCAAGCAACCTACACGGCCTCGGCTTCACAACCCGAACGGTATGCGTCCATTTGCGTTGTTGCCCCCCTGCGAAAAATCAAGCAAATGTGTCCATCCAGTAGTGAAATCGATTCCCTTTAAAACCAACAGGGGAACCTAAAACATATTCTTAAGCAAATGGACGTATGGGCTTGCAAAAGAAACAAACTGTTTTCTGCAGCCCACTTGTTGAAATGAACCGAACAAATAAGCTCAGGTGCTCTTGTTCCCCATGTTTGGGGGAAAAAACAAGACAAGAAGCTTGCCAAGAGCCGTGAAGCGTGTTTCCGGGTGAGCTCTCCATAAAATAGGTAGGCACCCTTTGTCATGTGGCTCATGGCAACTTCAGATTGATCCGTAGTACTAATCAGGGGCGGCGGCTGTTTAGTGAATCATTTCATGTTGGGAGGATTCCAAGATTAGACTGGCCCTGCGGATACATCCAAAGTTAAGGTTATAGTTGGCGAGTTGGCGTCTATCCCATGAAGCCCGTCTTAGGACCCCAGAGGAAGTAGACATCTTGGATGAAAGAAAACAATGGACCAGGTCAGCCAGATCAATGGACCGGTTCATGCATCATGGTGTTCAAAAAACATCATCACGCACTGGGTGTTAAACTTGCTGGTTTTGAGCAGGGAATGAGTTGGAATGACCCCTATAAACCATCTTCTATGGCTTCCTACAAGGGAATCCCCAGGTTCATTCATTCTCCTGAGCAGCAGCAAGTAAAGACGGGTCTGAAAAAAACAAAGTATCAACTTTAGGTGTCTTTTCAAGCTGGGAAAACTAGCATGCTTGGCAGCTGCGCTTTTCTTTACGAACGTATGGCTCAACATTGAGCACAGGCATCTTGCGACACTGGCAGGGATCCGAGACAAACGCATCTGAAGAGTTCTTGAAATTGCGTGAGCTCCTTTGCAAGCAGTCAAAGGTCCTTGAACAGCACAAGTGGCAAATACCCGAATGCCCTCTGAAGAAATGTTGATCCCCCGTGGCATCGCTTGAAGTTGTAACGAGATTGCATCATGGTAAGTTGGGGGTGAGGTCGCCATCACATCGGCAATGCCTCATTTTGCGCGCGAAGCGGTCCTGTACAGTGTGTCAAAGCTGACCGAAAAGCTTTAAGCTTGCCGAAGCCGAGCGGAATTATCTAAAAGTCATATGCCGAAGCAAAAACCCCAAGGAGCTGTTGAGTTTCAACCCAGCGAGCGATTTTGGTGGAAAGCTCCCGACACCGGTGGAAAGCTCACACAAGGGACAAGGCTCGGAATCACTGGGTAGAAGCCTTAGGCAAGCGGCAGGAGTCCGCCTTGAGACACTGATCCTTGACAACTTGAGTGTCTCCGGCCCCAAATCCTCCTCGGAGTCATGGGTCAAATTATGCGTGATAAGTGGGAGAACCAGGGGTACCAGGCCCAACCAGCCCACAGAACAATCAAGCAAAAACAAGCCAGCAAACCCACGCAGCGTGCGACCGGGTCAAAGCTTTGCACTGGTACCCCTGGATAATTCGATGACTGTTTACCTGTGACGCGGATTCCACGCACAAACATGCCGCCTGACAGGCAACAGCACTTCAAACCCAGGAAGTTTCTGGATGGAACCCTTCAACGAACCAATCTTCAAGCCGTTCATCGATCGCGCCTTCGGAAGCCCCTGCCGACATCGGAAGGTTTCCCTCTTGTAGGGAAACCTTCCCGTGTGGCGCTGGACGTAGGAACTCCCTCGCGAAATGATGCAACGGGCGTCCCGGTGTCAAGGCGACAAGGTAGCTACAATAAATAAACATAGTGTCGACCTGCTCTTTTGAGGGTACTCATGGCTACCCTTTTTTGCGTGTGGAAATGGAAACAAAAGCCCAGGTGGTATCCCCAACAGCCCCGGGACCCCTGGAACTGAACTTCCGGAAACCCCCGCTCAAGCCCCACCCCTTATCGCGCCTAGCCCCCAACGACCCCGCAATTCGCTTGAAAAAGGGCCAGGGGAAGCCAGGAGTTTTGAGCTGGATTTTCTTGGGCGAAATGTGCTCCAATGTTGGCTTCGTTTTTTAAACGGAAGCCCCCTCAAAAACAAAAAAGCGTTCGAAGCCAGTCTGGCCTGGTTGTGTTCCAATTTTTGCTTTGCAGGAAGCCACCATTTGGTTGGGGATCCGCTACAACATGACTCCCCTGCTTTCTGGTAAGGGCCAAGGCAGCAGGCCGAGCATCGGGGCGCCGGAAATCACCTGCAATAAAGGGCAAGCTTTAGTTCGTATCGGCGGCTCGGGTCGGAGTCGTTTGCCAAACAATTGGGCACTCGGTTCAACAAACAGCTCCTCACGAACCCTCAGATTCAGCCTATATATGAACGGTAGGGGCCCTTTCCATACACACTCGTTCGCAAGGAAATATCAAACAACGTTAAACAAAAATATCTAAGGCTCAACCACCAGGCCCGGAGGTGAGAAAAAGGGCTCACCCTCCTGACATTCCCAAGGCCGGTTTGGCTTCAGCCGGCAAGGTTCCGAAATCCATTTTGTGCTACCTCTGGAATGATTCGACCCGCCCTGTGGTGCGCAATGGTTTTGTCCAGCCACAGTACGGCACGTATTGGTTTTCATAGCGTTGACATCCGAGAGGTTTTTCGTTGTTTCTTCTTTTTATGTTTTTTTTTTTGGGGGGGGAGTGGGGGTGGGGGCAATGGCACGGACAAATGACATGTGAGACCCCCAGTAAAGGACTTTTAGCCCGGTTTTTTGCTCATTCTACCCTCAGAGCTGAGTATTTTTTCCCGGAAGAGAAACACACCCCCATATGTCCTGGTAAACCACCACCCCGACCAAGGGCAAGTCACTTTAAATGGACCTGGGCCATGAAACAGCCAGCGGGTTGAATAAAACCATTTCAAGCCCTCCATTGGCTGAAGTCCCCTGACTTAGGGTTTTTAAACCCTCCATCCCACGACAGTGGCATGTCTCCAGTAGTGATACTGTAGATCCCTTCAAACAACTTACAGGGCAACATCTCTCCGCCGAGACCAAAAAGGCCGCCAGCTACCGGATCTGGCCCCTCGCGAGGGCGGGCAGGCTTGGGCCAAGCCAACCGCGGTTTGTGGTGGTTCCCCCCCAAACCAACCCCAGCCTCAACAAACAGAAACACACAAACAACACAAAAAAAAGAAACAAGCAAAGAAACAAGCAAGCAAACAGTTAAACAAACAAACAATCAAAGACAACAAGCAAGAAAGAACGAAGTAAACAAATACAGAAACAAACACACTGATACACACACGCCATGTGTGAGTAGACAAACACACGTTGGTTTGACTGAAACTGATGCCAGGGTCTTGCCTAAACAGGTTCCCTGCTTCCAGGGTGCCAGGACGTGGGCGCTCAATTGCTCAAGCCTGCCGACAACGCGAGCAATGCAAACCAGCAGCGGCCCGTGCGCGGAGCGGTAAACAGCCTGGCTGAGTGAGCCCCGTGCGAAGGTCGAGTCAGGCTTCCCTGTCGTCGCCGAAGGTGTCCTGGCAAATACCCTGATCATCCCAGTAGTCAGTTGACTCTACCAAAATAGTAAAAAGTCCAGCTATACTACCTTTACTTTATTGTCCAGGGCCTGCTCAAACGTAGACGAACGTAGAACCTACAACAGCCCCATGGGAATCAGTTTTGGGCGCTGCTTGCCTCTTGCTTTGCACAGCCGAGCGGCGCTTTGCGCAATACCACGTGCACTCCCACACGTCCAAATCTGCCAAAGGCTCCCAAATCAAACAGTGCTTCCCTGGTTAATATCAGCTTCACAACCCCTAATTGCGGTAACCCTTTATTGGTATGGTAGGCAAACAACTTTCCTTTCGCCGCCCCCTTGTAAAAATGAACAAAACTGACGAAACAAAACCAACAAACCCTTAAGATCCAAGAACAATGAAGCCCACCTGCCCACCTGCCTACCTGCCTCCTCCCACACAAACCAGCCACGGCCAGGCGAGTTTCCCAGTCCTTGATGGCATCCTTCACGATCTGCGCTCCAACCTTTTGGTGGAGGTTGGTGAGTGAAACCCCGTTCACTGCCTCGGCGTCTTTTTTTTTGGACTCAGGAGATACCAACTCCCACCCTTTTCACATGGAACCTGACAGGGGGTCCCTTTAGATGGAAAATGGCCCTCCAGGATCCTGTCAGGTTCCACCATGTTCCATGTTGATTGGTGGACGTGGAGGGGACCGACCTGGTCCCTTGAAAGGAAA